ATCCTTTGCACATTTTTTAACTGAATTGTTTATCTTTTTATTGTGAGTCATAAGAGTTCTATATAAGTCCTTTATGAGATAAATAGTTTACAAATATTTTCTCCCATTCTGTGGGTTGTATTTTCACTTTCTTGATAGTTTTCTCTAAAGCACAAAAGTTTTTAATTTTGATGAAATCCAATTTACCCATTTTTTATTGTTATTGCGGCTTGTGCTTTTGAGGTTACAGCTAAGAAGCCATGGCCAAATCCAAGGTCATGAAGATTTACTTCTATGTTTTCTCCTAAGAGCTTTATAGTTTTGGCTCTTACATATGGGTCTTGATCCATTTTGAGTTATTTTTTTATACAGTGTAAAGTAAGGGTCCAACTTCATTCACATTGCATGTAGCTATCTATCCAGTTGTCCCAGCACCATTTGCAGAAAGACTATTCTTTCACAATCACCCTTGTTGAAAATCAGTTAACTATAAACATATGGGTTTATTTCTGGACTTTCGATCAATTCATTGATCTATATGTCTATCTTCATACCAGTACAACATTGTCTTGATTATTGCTAGTTTGTAGTAAGTTTTGAAATTGGGAATTGTGAGTCTCAAAAAGTCTCAAATCTTTTTAAAGACGTTTTTGCTATTCTGGGTTCTTTTGATTTTCTATATGAATTTTAGGACAAATTTGTCAATTTCTATAAAGCAGACAGTTAGTATTCTCATGGGAATTGTTTTGAATTTGCAGATTAATTTAGGTAGGACTGCCATCATAACAGCAGTAAATCTTCTGATCCATGAACATGAGGTGTCTTTTCATTTACTTAGATCTTCTTTCTCTTCTTTCAACAATGCTTTGTAGTTTTCAAAGTATAAGTTTTACACTTCTTTTCTTAAATTTATTTCTATTTTATTCTTTTGATGCTATTATAAATGGAATTGTTTCCTTAAGTACATTTTAGTATTGTTCATTAGGAGTGTACAGAAATATAATTGATTTTTAAAATATTGCTGTCTTTCAACCTTGTTGAACACATCTATTAGTTCTAATAATTGTTTTTCAGTGGATTGCTTAGGATTTTCTACATACAATATTATGTCATTGGCAAAGAGAAATAATTTCACTTTTTCCTTTCCAATCTGGAGGCTTTTTACTTCTTTTTATTGCCTAATCACGCTGGTTAACACCTCTACTACAATGTTGTATATAAGTGGCAAAAGTGGATATCCTTATCTAATGTTCTGATCTTTGGGGAAAGCATCCAGTCTTTCACCATTAAGTATAATATTAGCTGTGGGATTTCACAGATGCTTTTTTATCATATTTAGAATGTTCCCTTCTCTTCCTAATTTGATTCTTTTTTTTAACATGAAAGTGTGTTGGATTTTTTTACAAAAATGTTTTCTCTAGATCTATTGAGATGATAGTGCATGTTTTGGTTTTTATTCTATTGATATGCTATATTACATTAGTTCATTGCATCATATCAATTACATTAACTGTTTTTTGGATGTTGAACGTACCTTGAATTTCTGGATAAATTCTACTTGGTCATGGTGTATAATTCTCTTTATTTGTTGCTGGATTCAGTTTACAAGTATTTTGTTGAGGAATTTTGCATCTACATTCATAATAGATATTTATAGTCTGTAGTTTCTTGTGATGTCTTTGTCTGGTTTTGTAAGCAGGGTAATACTGGTCTCATAGAAACATTCAGGAAATTTTCTTTCCTCTTCTATTTTCTGAAAGAGCTTGAAAGAACTGGTAGGAGCTGTTTGGTAGAATATTAAACAGTAAATGTTTGGTAGAATTCAGCAATGAAGCTATCTGGGCTTGGGCTTTTCTTTCTGGGTAGATTTTCTATTATGAATTCAGTCTTTTAAATTATTATATGTCGATTTAGATTTTCTATTTCCTCTTGATTCAGTTTCAGTAGTTTCTGTCTTTACGGAAACTTTCCAGTTTGTCCATTTCATCTAAGTTATCTAACTCATTAGCATTCTTTATGAGTCTGTATCTGGTTCTCATCTAATTTGATAATTACATCCTCAGTTTTCTGGTACAGTCTTCTCAGGACAGTTACATACATCCTCAAAGTTTAGAATACTCAAGCCTTTAAAAGTGTTCCAATTATAGCAGTGAGTTTGTTCTGCACTTGAGTCATCTGTCACAAAGCTTTACATAACTTATCCTTAATAAGGGTATCCAAAATGTAGGTATTCCTCTAAAAGGTTCACAGCTTTTGTGTACACCCACAAGTGCAGTAGTGCTGAGCAGCCACTTTATTTTGTCTTAAGTAGTTGATATCAAAGATGACTATTTCCTATAAGGCAGACTAAATGACTTGTTAAGTAATTGCTAGGATATGCCATTTCTACATGCAGCCTCAAGTACTAGTTCAAGTTAGTTCACTGTTACATGAACAAAAGAACATTTAGGAGTAAAAGGCCCTGTGAAACTACAGTTGTTGCATACACTGGTAGTTGCCCTCCCAACATTCATTCTAACTTTCTTCTGGTTTGTTTTTACTACCAAAAACCTGACTATATCAGGGTGGCAATGAGCTCGACTAAAAACCTCAATTTTCCAGGTTTCCTTGTGGCTAGGAGTAGCCACATAATACAAATCTGGCCAATGACATGTAAAAAGAAGACTACGGATGAAATTTTTGGGAAAGCTATTTTCCTCATAAAAAGGGACAGAATCAGTTGGCATGCACAATTTACCCTTTGTTTTTCTTCTTCCTCTTAACAGGGTCTCTCATAAAGCAGAAGCTTTTAATTTTTTTTTTTAAGATTTTATTTTTTTCCTTTTTCTCCCCAAAGCCCCCCAGTACATAGTTGTATATTCTTCGTTGTGGGTCCTTCTAGTTGTGGCATGTGGGATGCTGCCTCAGCGTGGTTTGATGAGCAGTGACATGTCCACGCCCAGGATTCGAACCAATGAAACACTGGGCCACCTGCAGCGGAGCACACGAACTTAACCACTCGGCCACGGGGCCAGCCCCAGAAGCTTTTAATTTTGATGAAATCCAATTTATCAATTTTTTCATTTTATTAATCATGATTTTGGTGTCAAGTCTGTGGAAACCTTGCTTAGCTCTAGATTGTAGAAATTTTCTGTTTTAAAAAGTTTTATAATTTTATGCCTTACATTTAAGCCTATAATCCATTTTGAATTAATTTTTGTATAAAGCACTAGACTTAAACTGAAGTTCATTTTTTCTTTTTCTGGCCTATGGATGTCCAACATGTGTTGAAAATGCTAGCTTTCCTTCACTGAATTGCTTTTGCACCTTTGTCAAAAATTAGTTGGGCATATTTCTGTGGTTCTATTTCCATGTTCTCTATGCTGTTCCATTGATCCATGTATAAATCTCTCCACTAATACCACAGGGCCTTGACTACTGTTGAAATCAGATAGGCTGATTCCTCCCACTTTATACTTCTGTTCAAAATTGTTTCAGCTATTCTAGTTCATTTACCATTCCATATATATTTTAGAATAACTTTGTCTATATCTACAAAAAAAAAATCTTGATAGGAATTGCCTGGGAACTGTATATCAATTTGGGGAGAAACGACATCTTTACTAGATTGAATTTTCTAATCCATGAACATGGTATATTTCTTACTTAGATCTTCTTTGATTTCTTTCATTAGCATTGTGTAGTTTTAAGCATGTAAGTCTTGTACACGTTTTGTTAGATTTACACCTAAGTATGTAAAATTTTTGAGTGGTTATAATGATAATGTTCTATATTGTAGTAGGGGTTTGGATTACACCGATGTATGCATTTGTTGAAATTCATTGACTGATACACTTAAATTCAGGCAATTCATTAATGTAAGATTATCTCAAAAATAAAAAAGAATTATTCATATATATATTCATATATTCAAAGGAAATTATAACAATTACAAAAGAATACTTTGAATAAATCTATATAAATGAATTAAAAATAGTTCTTGAAAAGCATTATTTTTCAAGGAAAATACAAATAACCAAAACTGTCCCTGGAACATATAGAAAATCTAAACAGAACCAACAAAGAAGAAACAGAAGTTTTACAATAAAAATATTCTCTATATCTCTAAAACAAATAAAAAGTATGTCCAGACCCTTTTAGGGTAATTCTATCAAACTGTAAAAGAATAGTTAATTACAGTATTTTTCAAACTGTTTTAGAACATAGAGAAAGCATTCTGGATAATATTTATACCAAAACTTAAACAAGTATAAAAGCTAGAAAACTACAAGCTTATCTTATTTATGAAAACTAAAGCAAAATTGTTGAATAAAATATTAACAAACAGAATTGAGCAACACACTAAAAATAATGCACCATGACTAAGTGCAGTTCATTCCTATATACAGCTGGTTCAATATTAAGGAAGCTTCTAGCATAATTAGCCAAAGAAATACCTCAAATGAGAAAATTATGACCCTTTCTCTCCAGAAATTGAAAAGGCATCTAGTAAAATTAGGTAATTATTCTTGGTCAAGTTTCTTAATAATATAAGATAAATGGATACTTCCTTAATAGGATCAAAAGCAAATTTATTTCAAACCAGAAGCCAATAGTTTGCTTTGGGGGAAAACACTAAAAGCATTCCCATTAAAGTGAGAAACAAGATGAATATAAAACTATTAAATATTTTTTGAAAGTACCAGTCAATGTGTTCAGACAAGAAAAGAAGTATGAGGCATTAAAAATTGGGAATGAGGAGATTTAATTACATTTCTACTAGATGATGTAATTGTATAACTAGCACATATACAATAATTTAAAAACTAGAAATGAGAAGTGGATGGTTTCAAAATTAATACACAAAACTTAATAACTTTCTTCTGTAAAACAAGTTAAGAAAATAATATGCAATAAAAATTCTATTTAAAATAGTAACAAAATAAAATATCTAACAGTAAAACTTAGAAAAGGTGAAGGAAAAAAATTTTAAACTATACTAAGGGAGATAAAGGAAAACTAGAATAAAGAGTGAGACATACCTTGTTCTTGGATAGGAAGACGCAATATTGTAAAGATGTCAGTCTTCCTTAAATTAATCTATAAATGTAATGTGATCACAATAAAGTTACCAGCATTAATTTTGGGACAAGTAGAAAAACTTATTTTAAATTCCATATTGAAATACAGTTAGGCAAAAGTAGCCAAGAAATTGGAAAATTAAAAGAAAAAAGATGATGGGGGGGGTCTGTTTACCATATGACAAAATTTATAGTTTTAAGGCTATAGTAATAACAGTTTTCAAGTCATATACAAATAGACAGGTTAATGGAGCAGAATTCAAAATGAGACTTAGGAGTTTAGTATATAATAATTGTGGCATTTTCAATCAGTAGACAAAAAATAATTTAATAATTTTGATGGAACAACTGGATAGACAGTTAACAGAACTGGATTCAGAGCTCACTTCTTGCATCAAAATGAATTCCTGATGGATAAAAAATTTAATCACAGAAAATACAACTTGAAAAGCGTTAAGAGAAACATGGAAATTTCAAAACCCAGAAGCCACAGAAAAACAATAGACAAAGTGATTACATAAAAATTAAAAATTTCTGCATGACAAAGATAAAAGGTAAATGACAAACTGAGGAAAAAAAGCATGCAACATATATTACATAGTAAGCCAAGCTCCTGAATATACAGAGAGCACTTACAGATCAAGAAGAAACCACAAAGTACAACCAACAACAAAACGGGCAAAGGATTTTATTAGACAGTTTATATGAAAAGTCAACAAATATACCTGTTGGCCATTTGTATGTCTTCTTTAGAGAAATGTCTATTCAAGTCCTTAGTCCATTTTTTAATCTAGCTATTAGTTTTTTCCTTTCGAGTTGTGGAAATTCCTTACACATTTTCGAGATTAACCCCTTATCAGATATATGGCTTACAAATATTTTTCCCATTCCATAAGTTGTCTTTTCACAGTGTTGACTGTTTCTTTTCCTATGCAGAAGCTTTTTAGTTTGATGTAGTCCCATGTGTCTATTTTTGCTTTTGTTGCTTGTGCTTTTGGTATCATATCCATGATATCATTGCCAAGAAAAATGTTATGAAGCTTTTCCCCTATGTTTTCTTCTAGGAGTTTTACAGTTTCAAGTCTTATGTTTAAGTCTTTAACGCATTTTGAGTTGATTGTTTGGTAAGGTGTAAGATAAGGGTTCAATTTCATTCTTTTGCAGGTAGATATCTAATTTTCTCAACATTTGTTGAAGAGACTATCCTTTCCACATTGTATATTCTTGGCACTCTAGTCAAAGTCAGTTGACCGTATATGCGTGGATTTATTTCTGAGCTCTCTATTCTGTTCCATTGGCCTATATTTCTGTCTTTATACCAGTCCTATACTTTGATTGCTGTATCTTTGTAATATATTTAGAAATAAAAAAGTGTGATGTGTCCAACTTTGTTCTTCTTTCTCAAGATTGATTTGCCTATTTGTGGCCTTTTGTGGTTCCAGCTGAATTTTAGAGTTGTTCTGTAAAAAATGCCATTGGGATTTTGATTGGGATTGTACCATCAACATCACTAATCTTCAGGGAAATGTAAATCAAAGCCACAGTGACATATCATCTCACACCTGTTAGGATGGCTATTATCAAAAAAACAAAAGACAAGTGTTGGAGAGGATGCAGAGAAATTGCAATTCAATTGAAATGTAAGTATAAATCCACACCAGATTTTGAAGGCTTAATGTAAAAAAAAAAGAAGAAAGTAAAATATTTTGGCTATATTTGGGTTAAATAAAATATAATTTAAAATATATTTTGGGTTAAATAAAATAAATTTCACTTGTTTCTTTTTACCTTTTTAATGTGGCTACTAGAAAATTTAAAATTATACATATGCTCACATTCTATTTCTGTTGGAATGCACTGTTCTAAAATCAAGATTGGCAAAGTAAGTGTGCTAATGTTTGAATCCCCAAAACTGCTAAGAACATACCAATATGCTGGACTTTTTCATCAATGACCTCACAGTTGTGTGGCCACCGTGTTGGGCTCAGCGGACCAGAAGAAGAGACACCATATAAATCTCGTGGTTCACGAAGACGTGGCACCCATCTCCCTAGCTGATATTCCAACAGTATCTGTGTTGTCCGGGGGAAAAATGGGTCACTAATAGAGTCAGCTGAAACAAGATTCAAATATAATCATGTGTGAAAAGAAGGAAAACTCCAATTCCTCTTTTTTTATATATTCCTTTTTTCCTTCCAACACCATTACTTTGTGAATATTTATGGAAATTGTTATATACAATTCATAGCATTTAAAAATAAAAGTACTAATGAAATTTTGTAACTACTGATCTTCATAATAGCTAAGAGTTGTTGACCTCAGATACTATTAATTTGTGCTAAATTCTCTCTGCTACTCCAAAAACATTTGTTTGTTGCAGATTTACTAGCAAACTGTCTCCTGGTGAGTCTTCTTAAACTTAATCACAGAGGTAACTATTTGTCTAATGGGTTGAATACACTCTCTGACCAGAATTCCTCACCACCTAGTAAAACTACTCTTTCAAAGGTTGCTAGTGAACTCTCAGTCACAACTTTTTCTCAGTTCTCATTTTAGTGCTACCGCGTGACACAAACCCAGGAACACAATTCATATAGAATACGACGGGGTTGCCCCAGGTAGGTAGTGCAAGAGGCCCTGTCTCTTTCAATGGGATAACTAGGGCATCAATTTGATGTTGATAATCACCCCTCCTCGAGCTCATTTTCCATCTTCAATGATGCTACGCTTCCTCGTTTTCTCCGTATCTTTCACATATTTGATTCTTCATTTGTCTCACTGACTCCTCTTGCTCTTCCACCTCTGAAGTGTGGCTTTTTACCTAGACTTAGTTCTCAGCTGTTTTTGTGCAATAGTGGATACAGCAGTTGGACTAGGAGTCACACAGACTGAGTTCTATTCTACCGCTTCGTTTCTATATGATTTCGGTTGGTCAATGCAGCCTCTTTGAACATAAATCTTACTGCATGTAAATAAGGAATAATAGTACTTTCCCTTGGTACTTCTCAGGATTGTTATATAGATCCATTTATTCAACAGAAAGGTATTAAACATCTAGTATTCCATTATGTAAACAGAGCACATTTTGTCTAATTTACAGTATGACTCAAAAACAGCAAGGCAGCTATTTATGAATTAGGAAATAAAATTAGATCCATAACTCATACTATTCATAAATGTAACTTATAGAGAAATTAAATACCAAAATTCAAACAAGTACATAAAAATATTTAAAGAAAACTTAGATGATTATATTGATGACCTTGGGGTAGGGAAGGCCTTTGCAGCTTAAACAGATACAAAAATACCCACAAATGAATAATGAAAAACTTAACATCAAAATAATTCTAAACAATGGAAGCAATGTAAACAAAGTTAGCAAAATATTACTATGAATGAGCTATTCCTAACAAGAGTGAGTATACATAGACAAGCATATGAAATAATTCTCTATTTCTTTAGCAATTAAGGAAATGTTAGTTAAAACAGTGAGCTACATCTTTTCTTCCAACAGATTGGAAAAATTTTTAAACAGAAAAAACCATGGCAGGGCAAAGTCCATAAAATAGTACTGCAAATTTTCTATGAGTATGGGTATAGATATGTGTATAGATACAAAGAAAGAGGGCTAGAAGGATACACACCAAACTGAGAATAGTGGTTATCTCAAAAGTGATTTGTTTTAGGATGGTGGTGAAAAGACAAAATAAATAAATAAATAAAGGTCTTATCTTCAATTTCAGAATATATGTGATAGGTATGTGAATATTTAGGAAAAACAGTGTGTATTTGAAGTACAACTTTACACTTTAAAAAATAAAGCATACATCAAGATACCCACATACATGTACACTTGCAAATGAATGACTTTATTAAAGAAACTCTTCATATAGGCACACTTCCTTTAAGTAAAGATGTGCTTCCAAAACATCGTGTCCACTCTAACTGGAGTTGAACTGTAAATTCATTTAAAGAGCTAGTTATTTAAAGAAATAACAAGGTAAATCCTTACGTTAAGTGAAGTCCTTTATAAAGTAATGACCACTTTCATTTAGCTTAATTAAAAATCAGGTTTACCTAAAACAAACCTTAAAAGTTTGAACTCCAAAAGATTCTTATAAAAATGGATACATTCTCTCTCATCCAATAACAGAACATTATTCCCTACATTATTCAATCTGACTTTTTTTTTTCTAGTTTCTTCATGTTCTTATTTTTAATCTTTCAAGGTCTTATCATAAAGAGAAGGGAGAAAATATGGATAAGTCCAAACCTGTTAAAAGTGCACACTGGTGGATATCTTCACTTACAAATTTCATGAAGGTATCTGCATCCTAAAACAAGAGAGTTTTAAAATATTTCTCTTTTAAAAACCAACAGTTTCCAAATCCAGAATTTTTTTACATCTATTTTAATAATTCTTAGAATTGACTGCATGTCTTTAATCTCTAATATATAAAAAACATTAAAGGATTATTACAGGCTACTGGTCTCAAAGCACCCAACATTTCAAACATCCTGAAACTTTAAAGTTTTCCCCTTTCACTCCTCCTCTTCCACAGAGTAAGGTCATATTGATGATTATAGGGAACAAATAAAGTTTAAAGATTCTTGGTAATCTTGGCGAACAATTTAAATTAAGAAATAAAAATTTTAAAAAGAGAAAGAAAGAAAAGAAACACAGAGAGCCATAGACTCAAAAGGTTATACATCATTTGGGGGACTTATTTTGGGACCTTAATTTACATACGTGATAATTTATACTTCATTAAAACATGAAAGAAATCTCTAATACTAGGACCAAACTATTTTTAAATATAGTAATTTTAAATATACTAGTCCCCTCCTTATCCACAGGAGTATGTTCCAGTGGATGCCTGAAACCATGGATAGTACTGAACCCTATATATACTATGTTTTTTCCTATACATACCTACAACAAAGCTTAATTTATAAATTAGGCACAGCAAGAGATTAACACAATAACTAATAATAAAATAGAACAATTATAACAATACATTGTAAAAAAAAGTTATGTGAATGTGGTCTGTCTCTCAAAACATCTTATTGTACTGTCCTCATCCTTCTCCTTGTGATGATGAATGTCAGATGAATGACACAGGTATTGTGACGTGGCATCCCGGGTGGTAAGGTGTGAGATTTCATCACGCTGCTCAGAATGGTGAGCAATTTAAAACTGATGAATTGTTTATTTCTGGATTTTTTCCATTTAGTATTTTTGGACTGTAACTGAAAACCAGGGAAAGCAAATCTGTAGGTGTGGGGGGACTACTGTATATACTACATTTTATTTTCCTCCCTTTTCCTTCCACCATGTCCTTTCCTTTGTTACATCAGAGCCACATAAAAACTATTATGTCGATCCACAGCAGGTTTAGAACAAAGGGCTTTCCAATACTATGATACATATAATAATGTAGCACAGTAGAATTAGTAGATATAAGAAAATAGTGGACATTAATTATAAAAATAAAACCTAGTGATTTAACATTCACATTTTAATAAAACTCAGAAGCAGCTTAGCAAAAATATTTTCTCAAAAAACCAATGTCAGTATAGTTTCTCTTTCGAGACAGGGCATACTGCGCACAGTAATATCTTGGCTTTCAATCAAATTATTTCCCAACTTAAATAAGTGATTTGAACATCCAATTGGTTTTTACATCCAATTGATTTTATAATTTTTTACTGTAAATTTACAGTTTATAGCACAAGTTTTATCTCAAATTAAGTAGGATAAAGATGAGAAAAACATACTGATTCATCTTCATCACTGATTGTTCTGTCTGAATAGTCTTCCTTTTCTGAATCTTCTGACATCTCTTCCAGTATTTGGTTCGAAATTTCTTTTGTTAGGTACATAGGCTGTAAAACAATTTCTAAGAAACTTACTTGACAGTTTTCGAGTTGAAAGTGTTTATTACATTGAGTACCTCAAAACATATTCATTGTATTTAATTAACAGTGACCACAGCCTTCTCTAAAAACTAAATTATTTAGGCCACAGCTAATTAAACCTTCAATTTCAAAGAGTTGAAGAAATTTCCCATTTCTATGAGAGAGAAAATCACAATAAAAGACAAATCAAATAAATAATTTAATTGAAAAAGGAATTTCGAGTGTATACAGCTAAATCCTATACCTACAATTAAAAACCATAGAGCAATAGCAAATTCAAAACGATCCTAAGGCATTAAAAAGACCATGAATCAAAGAAAAATTATAGTTACCTATTGGGGCAGTGAAATGTAGCAATATAGTTAAAAAAAATTTTCTGCTTAATCTTCAATTGACCAACAGTTCAAATGAGTACAACAGACTTTTCTCTTGATATTTTGGTTAATATTCTGTAGATACTGTGTATGTTCTAGTATTCAATTATATTAGTCCTACCGAAATCTCAACAGCTATCAGAAGGTTGTATTGGAGATGACCATGACCCCTCCTACGCAAGTATCTTTCCAAGTGGTTATTATTAAGACAATGGAAAAATAGAAATTCTTTGTTAAGATTCTATTATTTTTGAGTGACCAAAGAAATTTACCAATTTGAATCTATTGGTTTATGCTCCTCTCTACGAAAAGCACGTTTTGCAGCTTGGACTACCTAGAAGAAAGTCCAAGCTTCACAGCAAATAACGACAAATGCAACAGAGGAGTCTGCCCTGTGGGCGACGCCTTCAGCATTAAGAGACTGAAATTTCAGTCTGGAGATCACCATAATCCCAAATTTGGAAAAAAGGATTGGCCTAAATCTTGATTCTATTTCCGTACTGGAGCACATGAGACAGGCCATCGCGCTGACCCGCCGTAGAGCAAAACCCGAGCTTCAGGAAAGCCACACACGCAGATTATCTAACGGACGCTAAGTGTGTATCTTCCACGTCTGAAAGCAGAAGACGCGAAGGCAGGCGCGTGCACGCCCAGCCGCGCCCGGGCAGGTCTGCGGGGAGGCGCGGTGATTTTCTCGGTGGGGACCACGATTAAGCCACACTTCGTGTTGGCAAAGTCCTCCTCCCACACTCACTTCTGGAGACGGCAGTGTGGGGAGGAGCTCATTTTCCGGCGCGCGGCCTTTCCACGCGCACTCGCTTCCCGCAGGGGGCGCCCAGCCTGCGACGTCCCTTCCCTCTCGGCGCTTCACTGTCCCGCCTCGGCCAGGCCCTCGCCCCGCCCCGAGTGCACTGGCCAGGCCAGTCGCCCCTTCCGCGCGGGGAGCAGCCGTCCTGCCCGAGACACCTAGCGGCCAGCAGTGGAAGAACGCCGCTGTAGTGTAGCAGCCCCAGCCACGCCTTTCACCAAGAGGTTGGGCCAACTCGTTACCAGGGCAACGGGACCACCCTCGCGAGACTTCAGCGAGCCCTCGGGAATGACCTAGCCACCAGCGCTGAGAGGAAGAGCCAACGCGGGATTTCGACCAGAGGAAAGGGAGAGCCCGGAGGATGACGGGAAGTAGGGGGAGAGGAGTAGCGGGCGGGGGGACTGTCAAGCTGGGGGAGGGCAACGCGCGGAGGCTGGCGGGAAAGTTTAGGAGTGGAGAAGGAGGGACAAGGATTTGTCCCTAGGGTTCCACAAGTCGGTTGTTTGTCACGTCCCTCGTCTAAGGAGGCAGTAGAGCATCCTGGTTAAGACTTCTGCTTTGTTGGTCCTTATTTGTACCCATAGTGAGATGCGTTCTGCACCCTTGTGTGACTAATGATCTTTATTCAATTCGGAAGATGAAACTTTTAAAATGCTTGATAGAGGAGGCTTAAAAATACTAGGGTGAATTCTCAAAATTCTTAGCACAGAGATTCTTTAAATATAATAACTGTTAGCGCATGTATTGAACACATTTTCTGGGTCACTAAGCAAATCACTTTACATGTGTCTCATGTAACTTAATATGATCTTCCCATAACAGGCTTAGACCTTATTGCTCTATATCCTATCTTGATTTCCCCGTGAACTTTAGCTCTGGTGGATAATTTAATATATTTGGAACAGTTTTCCAAGTATAGCTGAAAAAAAATTCTTTAGATGTTTGGTGCCTACATGAGGCATTATATGTCATGATATTTGTAATGTAGAAATGGAGATAATGGACTGTAGCCAAGTTTGAAAGTAGAATAAAGGGCAAAGCACTATGGCTTATGCATGAAAATGGGTTAACATCCTCTCTTTAAATTTTGTAAATTTCCAAGAAAAAGAAAATAAGTTTTTTTGAGATCAAAGATTTAGAATTTTGTGCAGTTCAGAAAAAGAAATAGAGCATATATTAGATGAAACTCTCTTGAAAAATAGTTACCCTTTATAGTTGCACCTTGTTTTAGGCCATACATGTGTTACTAAAGGTAACATACACAGGGAATTTTTCTATATGGAATCTATTTTTCTGTTGGATTTTAGAGTCATGGTGGCAAGCCGTAGGATGTCAGACATGCGAGGTGAAGCTCTGAGAGGTGATGTAACCAGATTACACAAAAAATTAATGGCAGAGCTGGGACTTGTGTCTCATGATTTTTAGTCCAAATATTTACATGATCATATTTCAAGTAATCCTATAGAGAAGAATTATTTTAGTGTATAAAAAATACATAGGAGGGGCCAGCCCAGTGGCACAGTGGTTAAGTGTGCACATTCCGCTTCTCAGTGGCCTGGGGTTCCCTGCTTCGGATCCCAGGTGCGGACATGGCACCACTTGGCAAGCCATGCTGTGGTAGGCATCCCACATATAAAGCAGAGGAAGATGGGCACAGATGTTAGCTCAGGGCTGGTCTTCCTCAGCAAAAAGAGGAGGCTTGGCAGCAGATGTTAGTTCAGGGCTAACTTTCCTCAAAAAAAAAAAAAATAGGAATTCAGAAAACCTTTGAAAACCATAATCATTCTTGTATTAATTCAGCAAATATTTATTGAATGTCTACTACTTATCAGAGATTGCTCTTGGTGTTAGGCTATTGCAGAGACTAAAACAGACATTCCTCATGGAGGTTATGTACTATTGGAAGAAGAAATGATATCAGACCCAAAGTGAGTTCGCTCACCTGTCACGCAGCAAGCCAATCTCTGACACCAGGTGTAGTCGAAAAAAGTAGGAATTTTATTGCAAAGCACTGAGCAAGGGGAATGGGCAGCTCGAGCTGCAATCCCAAACTCCCTGAAAAGCTACAAGCAAGAGTTTTTATTCAGGGTTTTAGGTAGGGGAGGGGGAGCACGTGGCCTCGGGGGCTGAAGTTCTAAGAGTCCTCTGCGCAAGCGTGACCATCTGTTCTATGTGTTGCCCGCAGTGGAGTTTTTAGTCTTCGACGTCTGAAGTTTACAATCATTCTTGCTTCTCAGTGTTCCTGTAAGATGCTCAGTCAGGCAGAGGGCTGTCAACAAGTTCCTCTCTTATCAGGGATCCTCCTGCTGTTCTGTAAGGCAAACTCAGAAACTTTGGTTATTTTGTTTCCTATGTTAACCTTGTGGGTACAAGGCACAGTTTCACCCTAATCCAGGGAAATTTTAACTCCTTCATCCTCAGTTTCAGAAAGACAAACCAACAATAATAATAATAATAATAATAATAATAATAAACACTCAGGTGATGATACCTGCTATGGAGCGAGTTAAAGCAGGGAGAAAGAGAGAGCATAGGGGGTGCTCTGGGTGGTGGGCCTTGGAAGGGGCGGCTCTTTCGATGGGGTGTCCAGGGAAGCATCTCTGACCAGGAGGCGTTTGAGCAGAGACCTGAAGCAAGAAGGGGATGAGCCATGTGGATGTCTAGGGGAGGACCTTGCCAGGCAGGGGAAGCAGCAAGCACAAAGCTTCCAAGAGAAGCCCTGTTATGAATGTTAGTAGGTGGTACTGTTCAGCCAAAGCTTCGCTGGAGTCAGTATCGTTTGTAAGCAAAGAGATTTCATTAGGACTTGTTTCTTCCCCAAATAAATTTAAAATCGTTTTCTTAAGCACCTGCTTCTTTTTGACTATCTATCTATCTATCTACCTATTTTTACTCCCCTATGCCAGATAGTAGTATGTAGTGAAAATGAAATTCTTTGCATTTAAGTTAAAGTGGAAGTAAGGCCTGGAGTAAACTTCTACCAAGGCCTTTCTGTCAGTCTGAATTTTTGTTCCCCTTCCCTGTGATCCTATCAGAGAAGGTTACTGGACAGACTTCTTGTATCGCCAGCTTCTGCCTTTTGGGAAGGCAGCTTTATCTCTGCAGCAACTTGTCCTGCTCCAACTTTTTGGTGAATTTATTTGCTCCAAGTCTGCAGTATAAAAGGCAATGTAATAAAAGTAGAGTAAGAAAAGAGGAAAAGAAAAACCAAAACAGTACTCCAAAAGGCACAATTCCTAGAGCGGGAATCAGGAGGAAAGTTCACTTTAGCAACATGGCCAAATGTATGTTCTGTTAGGAATATAATTCATTTTGTGTAATTATATCATTTTGATTCGTTGAACAGAGACTTAAATGTATGTAACATAAAGTGATAGGACAACGAGTTATTTATGACATCACAGAAGTTAGTCTGGGGCTGTAGACGTCTTGTCACAGTTTGGCTCAGGAAGCCAGACTGGGTCCCTGGAGCCCTGGTGTCATCTGGGACCGTCGTGGCCTTCCTCAGCCTCTCTGGGTCTACATGTCCCAGTAGAGGCCAGGCCTCTGGAACTGTTTCCAAGCTCCAATCTTGAGATCTGCCCCGGCCAGTCCACTCTCCGAGACTCAGCTCAAGGGTTATCCCCAGAGTGAAGTCTTTCCTCGGCCCTCTGTGACTGGTAGAATTCGTTTGTTTTATTGGTTTGTATAATATGTCTAAATTTGGGGGCTGTGGTGAAGCATCCTTCTCCTGAACACTTGGAAATGAGGTGGTAAGAGTGCCCCCTGCCTGCTCAACAGATGAGGACCGGATAATCACCCCAGAGAGAAGGATTGGTTCCCAGGCTCAGTGTGATTCTCATGACAAAGAACATGAAATGGTCTTTTTTTTTCTCCAATAACTGCCACTGAGCTAGGCCATGGTAAAATGCCTTTCCCGTTGAGGACATGTTGGCCTGATTCCATAACTTTGCAGCAATTTTCAGCTACTAAAACAGTTCCATATTGGTATTTAAGATTTCATTCTGGGATTTGATATTAAGTACATTTTAAACTTCAATTTCAAACTCAATTCAGAGCCGCCCTCCTCCTCACCCCCAGGCGGCTCTGCGCTTGGGAAGTGGGAGGGAGATGGTATTTTGCTGTTTACTCGTCCCTTCTTCCTTCTAGGTGCCAGTTCCTTGTGTTAGGATGAGCAGGGGCTGGGGAAGCCAAGTTGCAGTCTACACGGTTGGTCTCAAGTGCTGTCTTTGATCTTTGTCTGTGGGCTTCATGAGGAGAGCCGTGGCTCCGACCTGGCCCCCTGACAAGGGACCCTCTTCAAGGCACGCTTCTGCGCAATAACAATCTCTTGTGACAGATTGTGGGGAATAGAAGTTAGGAACGTTGGCTCGAGAGCTGACTCCCTGGGGCCAAATATTCTGCCACATAATAGCCCTATGACCTTGAGCAAATTTTTTAACTTCTCTGCACTTCAACTTATTTACATGTAAAGTGGGGATAATACAATGGTACTTACCTTGTAGGGCTGTTGTGAGGATTGATGAGTGAAGAACATGTAAAGTAAGGGCCCAGTAAATATTCTATCATTATCATTTGACCAGCTCATCTCCAACTGGTGACACTGATAACCGTGTCCCTCTGATACTTGGGCATCTACCTGCCTTGCTATGCTGATCCCTGCACTATATGCACTCTATATAGACTATAGAGTGTCACCACTGACCCAGTGTCATCTTCACAGCCAGCTCTAGGACTGGTGGACATATATTAGATCTGTGTTCCATACCCTGGCACAGCACTGTCCTGCCTGGCCTGCTCTTTTTGATTCCCTTTTCTATGGGCTCAGCTAGCATAGAGACAAATTAGCCAACTCCTGGCTAGGCAGCCATCCAACAGAAAATAAAATGCCAGCCTCCCCTTCATTCAGACACCCATGGTCCTTATTAGTGACTCTCTTGGAAGCTCCCTCTCTTGGAAGCAGCACCTTAATCCACAGACTATAACATTCTGCTCACAGGAACCTAGGGTTCTCGTGAGGACAATTTCTCATTGCAAACTAACGCACTGGCATTCTGACTTTATACAGTATATTGAGTTTCTGAGCTTGGTTGATTTACTGGTGCAGCCACAAAAGAAGAAAATAGATCTCTTCTCTGGGTGCTGACCAAATCATTTTTCAGGCTGTAAAGCTTAATAGCAGACCTTGATCTGAGGCAAGTTAGTGCTACCTGATTATTCTAAGAAGTGCCTGGCTATTTTTCTCCCAGAAGTACCAGTCTTCTATTTCTTCACACAGCTCTCTCCTCTTTGCCTCTGTTATACTCCTTTACCCACCTCTGTCATAGCGTCAATTAACACTTTATTGCACTCAATCTATTCATTTCTTTCTCCTGCTATTTAGCTTCAAAGCCCCTTGAGGGCAGGGGCTGGGTCTTCAGCTGTCTTTGTACTTCTGGTGCCCCATGTCGACTGGCATTTGTAGGCCTTTAATAAAGACGTCTAACAAATTTGCTGAGTGTTTAGTATGTGAAAGGTACAGTGCTAAGAACCGTGAGCACGAGGAGGTGTAAGATCTGGTTGTCAATGAGGAGTTTGCTCTTGTAGGGCAGGCATGCCCATTTTGAGTTGGGGATTCTTCTGCTGTGCCTCTATAACACTTGATGTACATCTCTGTTTAGGATTCACCACACAGTAATGTCAACATCTAGTCTTCTCTAATAGTTTCTGAGCCTTTGGAGGGGGAGGTCTGACCTTCCCTTTGCATTCTGATTGCTGAGTCCGGTGCCTGATGTTCACAAGGCAGGCACTCACAATAAGTGTGTGAAATAACTAATAAGAATGAAGGTTTATACAAGTTGGTGTGCTGGGGTCATAGAGTAAGTTTTCTTAGATAAGGTGGGGCTCAAACTTGGTTTCAATGAACTTAGGGATGGAAAAAAATAATGCTGTTATATTAGATAACAGACAATGTGTAAGCACAGATCAGAATGTACATAGTATCTTCCAGAGAGATTTGGGTGAAAATATCCAGCAAGTAGAAATATAGGACTGGTGGTTACCAGGGATGTCAATTTTCAAGATATACTCTTGGGAAAATTGGAACCATATGGCATAGGGGAATGGTTTTCAAAGTATGGTCCGTGGGACCAGCAGTATTAGCATCATGTGAGAACTTGTTAGAAATGCAAATTCTCAGGCCCCACCCCAGACCTACTGAATCAGAAACGCTGGGGCAGGGCAATATGTGTTTTAAGAAGCCCTTCAGATGATCCTGATGCACCCCAGCATTTGAGAACCACTGGCATAGAAGGTTGAGAGTATGGATTCTGGAACAAGAATACTCAGCTGTGTGGTCATGGGTAGGTTACTTAACCTTTCTGGGCCTCAGGTTCCTTATAAAATGGAGATAGTAATGGTACCTACCTGCTAAGGTTGTTGTGAGGATTAAGACAGTTTATATATAAAATGTTAGGTCACAGGAGGTGATTTCATTGTATTGTTTCCACTGAGAATCTTTGAAGCACAAATTCTCATAGAGAGCCTAGAGTGAAAGAGACCTTGCTACTCAAAGTGTGATCTCCAAAGCAGCAGGAGCGACTGCAACATCAGCTGGGAGTCCTTCAGAAGTGCAGAATCTCAGGCCCCTCCCCATACCTACTGTATCAGAATCTGCATTTTACAAATAGGTATCGCTTTGAGTGGCAAAGAGGTGTTATACGACTCGACTCTAGACCCACCAAATGAGAATCTCCTGGGAGTGGAACCTACGTATTTCCATGATTTCCACCATTGATTCTGAGGTTCACTAGGGACTGAGGAACCCCGGGGAACGTAGGACAGCTGATTTCCATCACTTGAACAAAACTCAAGCACCTGTGTTACTAATGTTGGCAGGTACTAGGCGTACAAAAGACAGCATTTATTCTAAGAAAAGCAGGTTGGGATGGAAGAATGCCAAATAAGGTTGAAAACAAGCTAAGAAATTCATCTTGTGTTCTGTATGATTGTAGTTCTTTTGTATAATTTTTATATTAGTACATTAGGCAAGAGATCATTGAATGAAGTTTCTTTATCCAAGTGGAAATGACCAGTTGGGCCTTCTAAAACCTATTTTAATGAAAAATTTTTTGGAAATCATATTTCAAGATAGCAAAAGCCCTCATCACTTAAAGCATGCTTTTGGCAAAACCTCTGCTATTAAACTGTATTAGAGTAAAGAGGCCCACATTCTTTATGGAGCTGAGATGCAGGGCTGAGTTGATACAGGAATTATAAATCTGGGAACAAAAATGTTATAAAACAAATTAACCTCTGAGAACTCTAAAAATTCCGCTACACAAATTGACAGCAGCACATCTAGCAGAGTTTATAAACTCGGTTGCTCCTGAAGTCATCTTCTCTCTTATCCAGCCCCATTATGTGTGGAGCACTTGGTGTACTGCTGGGACACAAAGGAATATAAGGTAAATTTTTTTTTTGTCCTGGACTACCCAAGGTTGAAGTGTTCTCTTCTTTCCCTTAACACTGAATTATGTACTACATAATTCTTTGACGATTATCTACTAGAGTCGTGTGATATTTTCTCTCTTAAATTCTTGAATTGGTACTCAATATTTTGTAACTTCTCATGTCTTTATCATGTATCATTTATCTCCCCACTAGAATAATGTAGTTGGTTCCCCACACTGAAGGCAGGTGGCAATCTATGTGAAGACCAGATTACTTCAAGCTCTTACTTCACTCTTACTTCCAGGAGGCAGGCCTTTGGAGATCCAACCATAAACTGGAAGTAATTTGCTAAATCCTCATCCTTGACAGAAGGTTATGACTTTTTCCTCTGGCCCCATTGGGGTGCAAAGTCTCATTCAGCCTCTCAGCTGTCTCTTGTAAGAGATGAGCATACGTTCTGAAGCGGAAGTAGTCCTGGCATAAAGGCAAGAGAGAAAAGTAACATAGAACAGGTGCACATGACTAGGATGCTATTTAAATGGAAAAATGTCAGTAACTACATTACAGATGAAAAGACTAAATACACTAGTTAAAACTCAAAGAGGATCAGACGGGATTCAAACCCAAACCCAAACCATTTGATTTTCAGAGACACGGATCTAAAACTGAAGGATATACAAAGGTTGAAAGTAAAGGAGTGGAAAAAGTTATAGCATGCAAGTGCTAACCAAAAGAAAGCCACTGTAGCAATGTTAAGAATAGGAAAAATCAACTTGAAGGCAAAAATCCTTGCTACAAATCGTCACTTCATAATGATAAAATATTTACTTCGCTAAAAAGATATAATCATTCTAGATTTCCATGTGCACCTAAAACATGACCTTAAACTACAGAAAGCAAAACTAACAGAATTGCAAGGAGAAATGGACAAACCCATAGTCATAGGGGGAGACTTTCACAGTTCTCTCTCAGGAATAGAACAAAGGGACACAAAAATCGGTGAGGATATAGAATGTTTGGACAACATGATTACTACACTTGACACAAATAGACACAGCACTCGAATAGAAACCTTTTAGGTCATCTCCTTACTCCTTTGGAAGAACACGTATTTAGGGTCGTAAGATGTTTTTTACTTATCCATTCCTTTATTTGGAGCACACCTGCACACAACGGTAGGAAAAAGCCTACAATACAGACCTGTTTCTGTCTCACTCAAGAGACTCTTACTTCTTTGAGCTCATACCCTGAATATGCACCTTGTAAAAATAATTTTCATCCATCCCTACTCCCTTCAGTTTAGTACTAGATTGTATTATTTTCGTTGCTTAATTTTGTGAATTGACTTTGATGACAACTGTCTTATTGTCTAAACTTATTGTCCTTCTTGTTAGGATGTAGAAGTTAAAAGTAGTAATAATTTTTTAAGTTACATCAACTTAGTTAATTCTGTCAATCTCATGGGCAGGATTTAGGGGACTGTTCAGGAGCTCTGGACTCACAATTTTAAACCTTTTTGAGAAGAACCTCAGATTTCAGACCGAATAGTGCTACATAAATATGCAAAATTACCGCAAAAACCATCTTTGGATTTCAATGTAATTGCCAGTGCCTTGCAAATAGTAAGTATTCTGCAAAATGAATGGTGCATATTAAATGGGTATTTCTACCACAAAAAACAATATCTTTGGGAAAACAGTACTGCTATCTTAGGAGCAAGAGGGGTAGTGTGTAACAACACTAGGAATGAGAGGGAGGATGGAGGAACACTTGATAATTTTTTTCTTTTGGTGAGGAAGATTTGCTCTGAGCTAACATCTGTGCCAACCTTCCTCTATTTTGTATGTGTGTCACCGCCACAGCGTAGCTTGATGAGTGGCATAGATCTGTGCCCAAGATCCAAACCCATGGACCCAGGCCACTGAAGTGGAGCATGCTGGACTTATCCATGACGCCACAAGGCCGGCCTGATAATTTTTTTTTTTGAAGAATTTTTTTAATCCCTCTTTTTAGCCTTTTCTATACATTTTTGGTCAGCTGTCCATACCAGAGCAATTTTCAATATTTTGTTAGAGAACTGCCTGTAATAAGAAGTATTTAAAAAATATGAAATGGCTTTTCTTCTTTAAAGAGTGAAACCAAGACTCAATCTGATATAAACATCTTGCTATGCCATCATCTTTATTACAACAGATATAACTCTTGTAATCAATGTAGTACAAAAAATCAGTGAGGCAAAGGCATTTGGAGGAATTCCATTTATTGTGGATGCATTTTCACAATATATATTTATTGCAGCGATCAATTATCAGTGAAAAATATCAAGTGTTTATAAAATTTTTAGGAATGGCAGATTCACAGAACATGCTAGTCACCTTGCAGTTTTACCTCTTAAAGATAAGAAAGAAAATTGTAATCAAACAAGTAAACAAGGAATTTATTTTTCAAAAGATTAAATCCAAACTGAACAAAATTCTACCCTAAAACTTATTCCATCCAAATATTGGAATAAAAGCCAGGATTGATATATTCTCTTAACTTTAGACTTTCTAGAAAAAATATATAATAGTGATCAGGAGAAGCTCTTATTCAAAAGCACAACAAAGCAATGTTACCTCGCCATAGGCCTTAATTCAAACTTCGATCCATTTCACTTCAATGATGTGAGTCGATGTGAAATGGGGCACTGCATATGAATTCTAGTTCACCTTATCATAGACTCATGTCTGCTCTGTCATGGGTGGATGACTTGTGCAATCTTGGCGGCTTTCCTTCCTTTGGCCCAAGTGTGCTAAAAGCTAGAGAATTCAACTACTCTTTACTGATTTATGAGGAAAATAGACTTTGGAAGGCAGTGGTCACTCCTCAGGCCAGCCCTGCCCTGACTAGCTCTTCCAGGGGAATACTGTAGATTAGAAAATAGTCATTTAGAAGGCTCTCTCATTGTGGTAGGAATTGAGAGTAAGACAATTTTGGTTAAGTCAAATGAGGTATAAGTTTATATAACTACACTCTATGTATATCTCTATGCTAGAACACATTGCCAAGACACTGGAACACTCTTATCATCTATTGTGAAGAATAGATGAACACTTAGAAGCTAAAATAAGATCTGGTATTTGGCTTGTGTGTGTAAAAATGAGGAGTCGATAAAGACTCTCGGCGGAAAAAGTAAAACTAGTAAAAGTTACATATATTTTTTGAAAGTTCAACACATTATCAACTTATGACAAGTATCAATGACTAATGAAAGTACAAAAGTTTAATTTAAAAAATGTTTCAGTATATCAAAGAGGGAAGTATTGTCATGACTCCTAGATACTGGATTTTGCACACTTTTCTCTGCTTCCAGACATTAGCCAAAGTTGGTCTTTGTATACCCATACATGGAATTCCAATCTGTACAGTCTTGTCACTAAAATTCTTGTCTTTAAATTTTAGAGAAGGAAAAGATCTCGGATATCATCTAAGCCAGCCTACTGTGAACTTGATTGTTAAGAATAAAGTTTTGAGCAAGCTTTCGGTTTGACCCAGATAGACGGTAGATTTAGTAAAATTCATGCTGGACTTCAAGATTGCCTTTAATTATAAACTAAATACTATGTTTTATAGAAAATGTCAACTCATTTTGACGCAACTAATCTCTCTTTTTTCTTACAGGTTATCTATCGGGCATTGGAAACATATCGATACCTATTCTGCCATGTCTCTATTGGCAAATATGAAATATTAATATAATATTGTGATCTTTAATTTTTAAAAAGCTGTGATATTGGCTAGTTACAACGTCATATTGCTAAATATAATAGTCTAGCACATAAAAAAGCTTTCTACCATTCGTGTGTTTGTATACGTGTATGCACATACATACATGATCAGGTCATCTAAAATGTGGTTCACTATCACTACCAAAGAAATCCACAAAGCAACCAACCTAAAGAACGCACTACCACTGTCAGCTAACATCATAATCCAATTTAGATATTCATCAGCATGAAAAAAGTAATACCTTAACAGTACATATTTTTTTTTAAGACAATCATTATTGCAGTATCTCATCTGAAATGGATTACTTTCAGAAAGTGTTACAATTGCCTACGAAGATAGTTTCTTCCATGCTTTATTCTAAAGTGCAGAAACAACATGACTTCTGTATTTAAAAAAACCCACGATGGTTTGTTTTTCTGGATACTGCACACACTCCTCAGGCAATTTTCAACTTGAATCTCCTTTTGTTGACTTCCGATATGGCTGGTATCACCGTTCAGACACAGAGTTTTGATGATCAGTAGAAAAGTCTCTATTTCACAGCATGGGTTTCTTTAGAAACAGGCTCCTGTGCAAAGGCAGTACTTTTACCATGAACATCTCTAGACTGTGATTATTAAATATAGTGATAATATACATAGGTTTACTGGGATAATGAAAAATAAAACAAAAGGAAATGAACTCAATTTAGTAAATCAACATAAATATAAAACAGAGCAAATTAGCCCCCTTTGGTGAGCTGGTCCAGCATCTTGAGCGGCTCCTTTGGATTCTTTCTTGAACCATCTCAAACCTGCTAAGAGAAGAGAGCTTTAAATTGGCAGCCCACAGTGTTTCAGGCAGACACTTTGTGTCAGAAGAAACAAAAAGGAATTATAATATGGCAGGAATAAATATTTACGAAAGGGAAGATTATTATTGGCATTCTGTTCAAATACGCTCCTCTTCTTTCAGTCTACGTTTTCTTCTGTTGATTTTTTCACTTTTCTATTTCTTTCTTTCTCCTTTATGTTCCCCTTTCCCTATCTTGGGCTTCAGCCTTGCTCATTGCATTCAGAGTCAAGAAGATTTTTTTTTTATCTCCACTATAAGAGCCAGGAATCTATAATGTGCATTCCAGAACGGGCATACGTGACTTGAAGGGCTCAGTCTTGGCCGTCAAGTCACCATGGCGAAGTGGCGGATGTTTATGTTTAGTTTTCTCCCATTTTTTGTTTCCTCCCTCCTATTCTTACCCCACTTCCCTTGAAACTTATCTGACCCATAGTTTTATTCCTATACCATTATTTTTCCTTAGCTAGCTGCTAAAAATCCTTGCTGAGGTATTCATGGAAGTTAAAGTGTTGTGAATTGGTATTTTCAAATGCGTTGTGTATTTTCATTTCAAAGGAATGACTGCGTGCACAGTGAGTTTGACATTTTGGAGCAAAGGAGCTACCTCTTCCGCTGCCTCATAAACTCAGCGCTGGGCCTGGTGGCTATATTATTATTACTGTAGGAAAAGTTCCATGGCACAGACCAAGGAGGAGGGGTGGTGGTATGAAGCCTCACCCTGTCACCTTTCCACCTAGCACCACCATGTTGCACAGTTCCAGGGAGTACCACTCATGCTGTCTTGTGAGTAGTGTTCTCTTGAGTCCTCCCATTAGAGACTGTATCTTTACTCCACTTCCCGGAACCCTGACTCAGAGGAATGTTATCCAGAGGGACTCCATTATACCTGTGATGATGGACTATGGACAGCTGACATCCCCTACTCAGAAAGAAGACCATATAAACATTTGGACTGTCATATCTGAAAGGTCAGAGACTTATGCTAGAAGGCTATAATAGCTTAGGCCAACAAAAGTTCATTCTTCATTTAAAAAAAAAACCTAAAAATAATACCTTTATCCTCTTCCACCAGGAGAAAATTGTATAAGGGACTTTAAAACTTTATATTTTCTGCTGAATATACAATCCTTGAAAGCAGCATGTATAATGGTTAGGAATGCAGGTTCAGATCAGACTGCCTGAGTTTCAGTCCAGGCTTTGCTATTTATTTGCTGTGTGGCTTTGGGAAAGTTACTTAACCTCTCTGTGTCTCATTTTCCTTAACTTTAAATGGGGATAATAATACTTCACATGGTAGTTGGAAGGTCAAATGAAATAATGTAGGTTAAGAAGGTAGACCAGTACTTTGCATATAGTGGACGCTAACTAAGTGTTGTTTGTAGTGATGATAGTTATTACTAGGTACTTTTAATATTACCAATGACTTAGAAAACTGAACTTATTTAAAAGTCATTTTAAGTAGAGAGGCTGGGCTAATGGATTTTCTTGGAATGTAAGAGTGATCAAGAACTCATAGAGAAGATGGAGTAACACATTTAGGCAGCTGCACGAGACGTGAGAGCATGTAGAAAGTTGGAAAATAATGCTCTCACTTCAGTGGGTGTTCTCCAGTCACCTTTGAGGTGTTCTTCAGTCCTGAGTTTGCTTAAAAAGTGATTCTGTCGCTAGAGTTCTAAGTGGACTCATAAGCAGACTGTTCTAATCTCACTTATTGTTGGTTTCTGATTTCTCCCTTTTCAGTTTTCCATCTATTAATGAGTCTTTTCCTTTAAGAGAAGACTGGGATTATTACTTGAAATGGGGAAGGGCTACAATTAGGAGTTGAATTAGCTCCTTATACAACAAGGGGTCCTATTTTTAGGCTGAGGTTCATCTAGATACTGTCCAGAGCTCCCTTTATGAAGAATGAACATACTCTTTGAGCAGAAGACCAAAAAAAGACAAATCCAAGCATTCTTAGTCATGAGTTTTCATAGGGTAGCAAAATTTGCCTAACCTTGGAATATTATTTTAATATTTTGCCATAGCAACCTTAAATCCCAGGGCGCTGGCAATGTAACCCCTTAGAATGGTTCCAGAAAGCAGCTTTGAAACCACTCAGAAAGACAGATGTTTCTCCCTAGGTGATCTTCCAATGGCGATGACTCCAAGTCTGGACTTTGTAAGGAAATGTAGACTATGGTTATACCATCCAGCCTTCTGCTGTCAACACTCCTACCACTATGGCGTTCCCAGAATGTCTTCCTGGGCACTACTCCATAGGTTTGGAGAATTTATGTTGTATGACTGACAAACCTGCAATGCTAAAAGGCCCCATGAACTTTGCCTTTCACTGTACAATATACAGGTCTTTAGAAACTGATGGTTACCCAGGCAAAGATCTGTGGACCAGTGATATTTCTCATTTGACCCTGGGACATCATACTGCAGGATACAGCAGGAAAAGAACCCATGAAAAACAAATCTTCCAGGTAGATTACCTTAGTGGGGGAAGTGACCTTATCCACAGATTGCTTTTCCCAGAGGTTCCGCTTGCCAGATACGTCTCCTGGCCTCAAATCCTAGTGAAGAGAAAGCAGAAAAAAATTGATAGGCGGCCATTTATATTTTCTGGCCAGATCTAAATAAATCACCATATCTATTGTTTCTTTGTTTGAATCAGTTTCTTGTTTAATATGCTTTATCCTAATGATCCGAAACGGATGGCATCCAAAGGATCATTGGCTGTTGTTTTTTTATGTAGAACTTGACCTGTGTTATGATATGAGAATGGGCTGGAAATATGCAGCGTTTAGGTCCTGTCCTCTCACTAAGGACTTACTGGTCCTTATTGGTCAGTAAACTTGGAATATAAGCATATTTAAAATAATGTAGCCTATTTTTAACTTTTTATGCTCTTAGAAGTGACTAGAGCATAGGTTCGTTATAAAGAATTCCTTTGGAGTCGGGTAAGGATTTCACCCTTTGCAGATGAACTTTCTTTTGGTGCCCTGCTGTGTCCCTTCGCCCTTACGACTTTAGTGCCTGCCAGCCTGACTTCCAACCACCAACACCGCATTTCTTGCCCGAGAACTTTCCCTGGCTATAGATGCCCCCGTTTGCCCACCCAGGAGGCGGCTGGAATTTCAGAGAGTTAACATGCCCAGGAGCAGTCCTCAACCACTCACTGATGAGCTTTGGTGCAAGAATATTTCTCAGGCTCACTCATGCCTCTGGTAGGAGATCTATGAGGCATGGCTTCATGGTGGCTTCCAGGGTTTTCCCAGTTGGATTAAGTTTTAATAGCCCACGTGGTTTCTTGCTTAATAACATTCTTTATTGGCTGTCTTCTTTCCCCCCATCTCACTTCCTGCAGCGTTTTCTTCACCGCCAAAGTACACGACTTGTACTAGAATCACTATCTTAGGGTCCACTTCTGGGCAGCCCAAACTAAGACACTTTTCTAATTGCACTTTCCTAGGACTAAAATCGTTGTGTGTTTCCTGGGGAGCAAGTGGATAATTCAGAAGTGTATCAGTAAAACCTAGCCCCACAAAAATAAACATGGACCACAAATTGTACCCATAAGAGAAACTGACAGTTGATGACATATGTGAGAACATGAGGAAATCTTGGGAAGAAAACACTAAAATATGATCGATAACAGTTATATAGATTTGATTCTTTATTTATTACCTCATAATTAATTTAGTTTGGATAAGAATCCAAATTTCTGTTTCCATTTACTTTTCTTCCAGTATTTGCGTATATTAGTACTTGGCAAAAGGTAGTCTGTAGAAAATAAATGTGTTTTACTGAAATAGTAATGTTTATTTTGGCACACCCCTTTCTCATTAGGAAGGCAAAATTAGTAGTAATTGCATTTATCCGTGGACACCACTCTAAATGGACATATTTTTGATAGATAGTATTGAGATTTCAACACTGAAAATGCACTGGTTAAATGGTCCCATGTGAAGCATTTCAGATTTGCCTTAATCTTGCTGATTTTCTGGATTTCCAATGTGGCATGAATTCCTGATATTCTATTAGAGAGCTACACCTATTTAACTTGGAACCAGTAAGCAACAAATCAGATTGTTTTTAAAGAATTCCACTACATTCGCCAATGTTGGTTGAAGCTGCCAAACTGTCTGGAAGACTGTTTTAAAATGTTGGAAACTATAATTAGGAACATGCTAATGGAAGCTCGGGTAAGTGGCTATTATTACTTTATTTATTTGATTCATAGAAGACAAATATTTTTCTTTCACATGAATTTTCTTCTGCCGAAGAAAATGGATTGTATCTCCCTTGAAACCTGCCCATGAATCTTTCGAGATCACTTAAAGAATATAAAGAGTCTATTTGAAGAAAATATTAACTTCTAAGTGGCAAGCTGGAATTTTAAATCAAAGGGGAAATAGAAATAAAATTACCTGACCAGACTACATTTTAGAGAAAGACCCACTCCTGAAGAAATGGGAGAAATGAAGGCCGGAGAAGCACGTTTCCCATCAACCAGAGATCAAAGAATGAAGAAGAGAATGCAGCTGAGAAAGACATTGTTGGTTTTTGTTTTTAAACAAAAAGAGAGATAAATTAGCATTTTAATTGCTGTATATAACATGTAGCTTAGACAAGAACAGACAAACCAGCTAAAACAGACATACAGAACTGAATTCCAGCTACAAAGTTACACTGAAATCCTGTAAATTCTACCCACAAATAGCAATAGATGTCCCAGTAAGGAATCAGGTATAGATCAATGTTTATTTTTAAATAAGTCAATTTTCAGGGACCCCAAATAATATTGATTTGACAAACTGTTTTGAGCACTTCTAATTCTTAGCATATATGAAAATTATATAACTTGGTATAGGATGGCTTTTCTCTTCAGTGAATTTTAGAACAACGCTAATCCCAAAGGAAAGACTCATTTCCTTCTTGAGGTTTCACTGGGTGAGGACCATTTTGGTGAAGGAATTTTCGTCTGATTTTTCCTTAATGGCCACATGCCACACATCTGCAAACACAAACCTAGGCTCTCCTCTCCAACCATATATGCCAAAGAATATAAACAAGGGACTGAGAATAAACCACCTCTGGTCCAAAATTAGAAAGCACCTTTGGGGCTTCCTATTTGCTGTCATCTTTATGTAATCCTCTGACATCCTGGGCTCAGAGTCAGACTGACCAGAGTCCCACAGGTGTCAAACTCAGATGCTGGCCAGGCTGGAAACACAAATGCCTGAAGAGGCTTGGTGTAAGAAAATAAGGAAAAGAGGGAATCAATAAATTCAAGAGTACATGCCTCCACACCTCAAAAATGTGTTCAGATTATAATTTAAGAAAGGAAAATAAAGCACAATGGTGTGGGTCAAACTACACAGATCTTAGCTGCAGGCCACCAGTGTGAGACCCCCTGAAGAAGACCTGGACAAGATCCTTGCTCAACCTGTCTTTCTAAGCTTGCTTCCCAGACTTGACCTCTGCCAGCCAAGTTTTATGCAGCTGCAGGATCTTTCCAGTTCTTTCCACAGTTTGGAAATTTCATTTCTTTTCTGCTGGACCCAAAGTGTCTGTAAATTACCCTCCTGTCTTGCTGGGCTCCAAGTCACGTCCTCTCCCAAAGAGACCACCATCTTGCTATCATACTTTGACAGAATGCTGTCTCTACCAGCCCTGGAATGTGCACACACCTTAAAGTTGCTTATTAAGGATACTCAAATTAGCTCTTTATTTACCATATCAGTTACATACTGCTTTCTTCTGATCTGGCCTTCATTTGGGAAGTCACCCTAGTCTACAAAATCCAATGGGACGTGGAGAAAAAAAGAGATCACTACAATCTATACTAAAGGGTACATTCTTCTTCCCTTTTCTTTCCACCCTCTAGTAGATGGTCTGGCAAATTACTTACTAAATAGAAAGTAAAGCAGACAATGATTTTGTAATTTCCCTGTAATACCATTTTGTCCTGCCACTTTTAGGAGGCTTTCAATAACCTCCGACAATGAGGCTTTTTGTGGAAACCTTGACACAGTTATACGTACTGTAATAATAACTGAATTGAGTTTTCTAAACCCTCCCATTGGGGTGACATAGACGGTGATAGGCTCATTAGTTAAAGTGCTGGTGAAAGGGTATGGGTCAAGTCCCGGACCAACATATGAGTATAATCTGGTATAGAAATGAAATAGATCACAAATACTATAAATGTGAAAAAAAATGACCCTCTCTTCCAGCAATGTGCCATACTCGTCCAAGAAGGAAACAATTACCTTTCTCTCTTTATCCTGGCTATCTTGAGAGATCTTCAGTGGGCCCATGAACCTGCTGAACCTGGATTATATGCATGTTCTGGGGGAGAGGATCCTTAGGTTTCATGAGGTTTTCAAAGGGCTCCATAATTCACAAAAGTTAATAGTTACTGGTCTGGAACCACAAAACTTATATAAATTGCCATTTAAAAAAATAATTTCTACTCTTTATATCACCTTGGGTGCTGGGGAAACATGAGGCACTAAAGAGCACATACTTTTTGGGTAGGGTCCCTCCCCTCAACTGTCTCCTTTTATAGGCCCCTTTCCTGTATTTACTAGGAGAGGGAAAAAAGATGTTTTTCAATATATAAAGACTTTCCAATTATAAATTGTGCTTACATTAGTTTTATATCTCCTGTGAGCCCTTGGGCAATGAATCTTGGGCTGAATATTAATTAAATAACTATAAGGAGTTGCGCCCAAGAAGAGTATGGAAACGTTTCCATTTCTTCTTTTTTCTTTCTAAGTTGGAAAAGTAATCAACTTTAGTGACTTTGGAGATTAAACATGGAGCCAATGGATGCAATTAAATGCTCAATGATGCAGAGGCCTAGGCTTTGGAAAGCTTTTCTTCTACCTCTGGAATGGAGTGGTTATGACACTCAAGTCTCTGCCCCCTTGGGCACCAACAAAGGTATAAAAGCCACCTTAACAGAGAAAGCTCACCAATATAGAGTAGGGAGCTTAATAAGGTTTTTGATTATAATGATAAGTACAAGGCAATTATCAAATACATTCAGTGAAAAGACTGAAAGAACATTTTTATAGTAAGATAGCCACACTTAAGAAAATATTAGATTTCCAAAAATAACATTTATAAGCAGTTTTTATAGTTTCTACTTTTACTGGACTTTTAAAAATGGCCTTCCTTTGGAGGTGTCGACATAAAATTACGGCAATTATTTCAACAACTACCCAATAACTATTTTTGTGCTAAGTTACAGAATTTGGCAAATTAGAAAATATGGGTTCAAAATAGCCAACACACACATTCTTTTGGGAATAAGTTTGGGGTGCTCTTGATAGAGAAGTGGCCAAGGTAATTTGACATTTTCATTTTCAAATTCCTAGCTATAATTTATAGAATAGAAGCTAAACAAACAGACCAGTTAAGAGTGTAAATTTGAACTGCCTCCACGTCCAGGTCAATTACAACTCTCAGGGTAAAGAGGTGATTATGGTTCCATTTTGCCCTCTGGGTATTAGGGTGCAGCTGCTTGGGGCGGTTCTCTCTGAATCTGCACGCCTCCTTGCTTGTTATTCAGTAGTGACAGCAAAGAATAGGAGTACTGTCTTTCCCAGGCAACAGACCAACTGCCTGTTTTCTTCCGCTGCTGGAAGCTGAGAGATCAAAGAAATTCAGAAAAACCCAAGGCTACTTACAGAAGGTTTGGGAGCAGGTGATTTGTTTCCATCTGGGGTTTTGGTCAGCCATTCATTGATGCGGCTGGAAACTCCCACCTTCAAGCCAGCAGTTTCCTACAGAGTCAATCGTGCAAAATATTAAAGGAAAAAATTAACTACTGGGAAAGAAATCTTCAAAGCAACCTCAAAATGCTTTTAAGTATTATAATCAATTTCTGATGTTACATTTAGTATTTGAGTAAAATAAACCTTAAACTTGATATTTAAAGAACATGTTATCTGGTTTTCTTTTCCCTGCACCCTACTGCACCCAGACCCCAAGGGTTGAAGATTAATTTCAGGCACTTGATTTAGAATACTGTGGCCAGAGCATAGTATGTAGTCTAGCCTCACGGAACATATTCTTTCTGAACTTGCTGTGGCATTCATTGCAAAGGAAAGCAAGCATTATACCGTCTTCACTGCTTTTATTATTAACTGGTATGATTCCTAAAAAAAAGGAAAAAAAAATCCACCCTCCAAAATTAAAAAGCAAAAATCCTATGCTCACCTTATTTGGTGTGCCTGAAGCAGCAGGGGGCGAAAACACATTCCCCTTCTCCCACATGCTCTTGATATTGCGCACGCCTTCGGCGGGGACAGGAAGATCCGAGGCTGCAGGCTTCGTAGGTTTTGCAGTTTTTGTTCCCTGAAGTGTGTGAATTATTTTTAGGATTGGCACTGATAAGTTTGTTCTCACAAACTTCTAGTGAGCTTATCTTCCTCAATATTATCATTTAAAAAATTCATTGTGTAAACCCCTTCACCAATGATAAGAGTCTTAATTTCTATTGTAAAACTACCTTTTGACGACATATATACCTCAAACTGAACCTTAAGATCTAGATCAGAGGGTCTTACAAGAGAGAAATATGTTTTTTATTGGGACAACAGTTATTGTTAAGGTGATGTTCTACTTCATTTCTTCAACAGATACTTCTTAAGTGCCTACTGTGTGCAGGGCATTGTGCTAGGCTCTGGGAATATAGTGGTACTCAAGACAGTCTGCTCTGGAAGCTGCAGTGCACTTACATTTTAATAGAAGAGAAAGATAGTAACCAGTTATATACTAGTGTTTATTTCACATTGTGGTGAGTGCTATGCAAGATAAATGTAGGGCTTTGAAGCATACCAAGAGAGCACACAAGAGGGGAATGATACTTAGTTTAGGGGAGCAAAGAAGTCTACTCTGAGGAAGTGACGTTTAAACCCAGAACTCACAGAAGATCTGGAAGTGACTAGGTGAAAAAAGGAGCAAATGCCACTCCATGCAGAAGGAACAGCATATGCAAAGAACCGAAGACAGCAACATGCTCAAAGACTGAAAGATTGAGAGACCTCTGCATGGAGAACATAGTGGAAGGAGGAAAGAATGGATGTAAGGTTGAAACGTGTCCTTTCGAGATACTTCTCCAGCAGTAGTGATGGGTATTTTCAGAATCATGCAATTGCTCTGGTGGTCTTGGTTATGTGGTCTGGGGCATGTATTGTCAAGGTGGTCAGCTAGGGTAAGTGGTACCATCAGTGGCCCATGAATAAAAAAATCTCCCTGGACTATATCCGGAAGCCACAGTCTTGGCTTCACTGACCCTATTAGAGCTATGATCACTTCAATCACAGAAAATAACTATCTGCAATTTGTCTTATATTTTAATGGACATTTAATTTTGTGAAAATCACCTCTTGTGGGTTAGGACTTGATTATTCATTTAATAAATCATCGAGACCTCTCTCTTTCTTATTCCCTTTTATCATTTGCTTGTGAACTATTTTACAAGTATCTCCACTCTGCAGTACAAAGGAGAGGAGAAAAGCAAATAAAACTCATCCAATTACTTCGTAGCAGTTATTCCGATACAGAAGAAGGCTAAATTATCAACTGAAGTATACACAAAGGAGGGAAAACAGGATCACATCTTGATCAATAGCACCCTACCTTCTTAGTGCGCTAGTATTTGGAAATACACCTTATTTCCAAATAGAGTAGAACCCCTAGGTCAACTGGGTGGACAAAAAGTTGGAATAGACAGAAGCATGAAACTATGGTCCTTCGAGTATAAAAGAATCAATTTGAAATTGATGATTAAATTCAGGCTGGCTACCATCTTTATATTAACTTATAGTACCACTTTTATCGATAATTGAAGTTTTTATAGACAAAAGAGAATTAACCAAAGTTGTAAGGGACTGGTTTAAACTACATATGGGAACATTTTGTAAGGAATTAGGGATATTGAAGATATACTTATGAACATATAAATAATACTGTTAAATACCAATAAACCCATTCATTAAAGGAGAACACCTTCATTAAAGAATACTCAGGCTGAAAGTAGTAAACAACAATTTATTGAAAGCTCTTCTATAATTTATCTTTATTACTGTTCTTCTCTATAAATAGTTCAAAGTATAAAAAAGCAGCATTAATATTCTAACATACTAATGTGGTTATTGGACTTGATTATTGTCCTAAGTGTTTCTATCATCATCTATATAATCAGAGTTTATTTCTTTTTGACCATAACTCTGAGGACATCTCTCACCTCAATTGCACTGGTGTATTGCTCCAGTCTGCTGTCAATTTTGGAGACCACTGCTGCTTGATGAGTTGATTTGACACCACTGCTAAGTGAATAAACACACACATGCATGCATAAAATACAAGAGAGAATCTTTCCATATATATAATGGCTGATGATCCTTAGTTGAATAATCAACTGTATTTACCTTTTCTGCACAGACTTATTCAAAAATTCTGCTCGCTCTTCTATCTAGGAATTGAAAAAAAAACAAACCCAATTAATATTTTCAGCTTATAAACAATGTTTCTCAGCCCATGCCACTGTCTCGCCTGAACCTGCTGAATAAAAGCACCAAAGAGCATCTAGGGGCATTAGGGTGCTGTGCACAGCAGCTCTGCTGGAGGAAAGCTCCATGTGAGGTATTTGAGTGAGATTTGGAGGACAAATGTAGTATTGGCAAATGATAGGGAAAGTGTAGAGAAATGTAAAGTTTTGGAGGCAAATTAAAGACTAGACAGAATTGGAATAAAAATGCCTCTGAAATAATATATATCAGTGGCAAACATAATTACATTTCAAAACTATAACAATAATTTTTTCAAAAACACATGCTATTACCATTTAGGATCTATTTATATGATATAGATGTACCATGCTATTTGATGAACAAAATTTTCCCACAATGTTTTAACTATATTTTTGGTATGTAATAGGATCAAATAAGAAAGACAACCAGGAACTGTGAACTAGTGATCCACTGCTGAGCCTGACTGCCTAACTTGATGACTGTCACGCCTATTGCTGACCTTCATTTGCCCTGAATGTATAGATGGGGGTGGTGGTGGATTGAGGCTCAGGCACAGCTCATCAGTAATGGCTGAGGCCTCCCATGAGAGCCCTATTGCCCAAGTGGGAATTAAGGAAATAAGCCCAGGAAAACTGTGATGGATATATATGAAATGGGCAGTTCAGCAGTCTTTAATAAACTTTCTTTTTTTTTTTTTTCTGCTTTATCTCCCCACCCCCCCCCCCCCCCCCCCGCCCCGTACATAGCTGTATATCTCAGTTGCAGGTTCCTCTAGTTGTGGGATGTGGGACGCTGCCTCAACGTGGCCTGACGAGCGGTGCCATGTCTGCGCCCAGGATCCGAACCCTGGGCCGCTGCAGTGAAGTGCGCGAACTCAACCACTCGGCCACGGAGCCGGCCCCTAAACTCTTTTTCTTTTAAAGCTAGGAACTTCTTTTTGCTGCAACTGAAGCAACTAAATCCAACATTATATTTTACTGAAACTATATCACTCAAATCAGATGTTCTTTATAAGTCAACAAATATTTTTTGACTCCTTATGATACCCAATTTCAGGCTAGAAATATCCTCTGCACCCAATATCTATCAAAATCAGCAGATGGTAAAACGTTCCTTGTATATGACAGCATGTGCCACAGCACACACGTGCTAAAAGGGTCTGTTTTCTGCTCCGTTCAGGGCAGCCAAGGAATCTACTAGACTACAGTTACCCTAGGCTGCTGTGCTTGAGCATCCTCTATAGTCTTCTGAGATGTTAGTGGCTTTTTCTGGCCTGGACTGACCTGGGACTCATGGACTATTAATAAATACCCTTAGGCTTTTTGGAAAACATGCTTCACTCCTAATATCAGTTGAATAACATGTTTATAGATGTTAGTGAGAGCACTTGATTTTTTCCAAAAACTTCTTAGAATCACAAAAGCAAATTCATTAAAAATAAAACTTTATGCAAAAAGGTCCTCTAGGTAGCCCTGAGTTTATGGGATGTAAAGGGTCTTACATCTTTTTTTCTGATTTTAACATAAACTTGGAAGTGCATTTCTGGAGAAAAAGTTCCCAGTTGAAGGTGAAATATGTTGAAACCATGCAATTCTCTGGCACTTTTAATATTATCCATCCAGCCATCCATCCATCCATCCTACTTTTAACCCTACCAGCCTGTCAGCTAAACAATCAATCAGTAAATTATATATTGAATGCTCAACAATGTATAAAACAGTGTCCCATTCTTTAAGGAGAACACAATTTAGTAGAGGAGACTCATAGAAAATATAAATAAAATACTTAAAATTCAATGGTAGGTCTCATATTGAAGATAAGAAGACAATGCTGTGGCTATAGGAGAAGTGACTCTGAGTAGTCGGAGAAGGCTTTTCAGTAGTGTTGATATTTGAGCTGAGATGTTTAGTTTACAGTCTCCATAACTTTATAAAGGAGTTTATGAAAGTGGGGTTGGGAGCGCATGAGTCAGAGGGGAGAGGACATTTCTAGTAGAGCAAATACATGTACAAAGATTTGGGGAGCAGAGGCAAAATGGGGGAACCGAAGAACGAAGAAACATCCAACGTGGCGGAAAGACGTGGGCATGGTGGAGGGCGGTGGCAGAGGTGAGACTTGTTCTTTGTCGCGCTTCCTGCATCATTCTGACTCAGGGATCATCTTGCTATCCTTGGCCATCACATTTATTCAAATTACAGAGGCTCTAGGACTGCAACTTTTCCTTTTGTATCTACAATATTCAAGACAGCTTGACTTCATTATCACATTTCGTCGGGACTCACCACTCATTTGCCGATGCACTCTTGGTGGAAAATTCCTTAACTTAGTGGCTCTAGGTAACGTAACAATTTGTACAGAATTTGTAAATTAAACATTCTGTATAAGTTTAATGAGGGTAACTGGGTCTTCTGAAGACCAAGTGGTGGCAGTGTTGCCTAAATAAAAGTCAAGGGGAAAAGTATACTATTAGTTTTATTAGAAAATCAGCTCTCTCCTAACTCCACACTCACTCCACCACTAATATATGAAAACAAGAATAATAAAAACAAAATTTTAAATTTAACTTACATAAAATTTATTCTTTGCATGTGTTATGTAAGAAAAATCATTCACTGCTAACATAATTTATGAGAAACCATGTTCAGGGTTTCCCAGACAAGGAATAAATGTCATGAGAAATTAACAAAATACACAAGTTGATAATATTTTTAGGTCAAATATCCAATGCTTTTCCTCCCAGTGGCATTCCACAATGTTAACTTGTGACCATTGATAAGAGGTGCCGGGCCAAGAGTATCAACAGCCATCAGAATTCAACTGGAGAATATGAAATTGAGCTCTAAAGCCAGAACCACAGCAAGTTCTTCAAGGCACATACTATGAAGAAAAGCAATAGATTGTTCCTAAAAGCCTGTCTCTATTGTATAGAAATTAAAAATGTTTTGTTTCCTTTTTATACATCTACTTTGATTGCTCACACATGCCTCTCTCCCAGAGGGAGCAGATAAATGGCTTCCTGGGAACAGTCGATGAAATGGGAAGTTAGGAGTCTGGTTGAGGGAAAGACCAGAGAAGGAAGTAAGCTGAATAATTTGGCAGAGAGGAGATATTTGAAGAGAAGGAGGACAATGGATTGTAGTTTCTCCTGAAAAGAAGAGTAGAAATTAGAAACTCTGGATAACTACTACTTTATTCATGTTACCAAGACTATTCACAGAAAGCTTAGCTTGGGCGGGATTTTAAGGAAGGTAGAAAAAAAGAACATGGCATTCTTTGATCATTGATGAGCCAGGAAGAAAAGGACCCAGACCACAAACAGAAAGGACTCCAACAGCTGCACAGCGATAGCCTGAACTGAGTGGGCATTTTTGCCTTGCTGATCTTTCTTCTACAGCAAGGGTCTGCAAACTATGGCCCATTTGCCTATGGGCCAAATGCAGCAGCCCATGTTTTTCATATATCTCTTAAGCTAAGAATGAGTTTTATATTAAGTGGTTGAAAAAATCAAAAGAAGAATATTTCACGACACAGGAACATTTTATGAAATTCAAATTTTGGTGTCCGTAATTAAGCTCACCTACTCCACAAAGCTTCTCTCTACTCATTTTGCTCAGTTCTGAGGTCTCACTATGCTGGTAGTCTGCATCTGGTTACCTCTGTAATCCTTGAATTCCCCTGAGGCAGTCAATTATATTAGTGTCCTAAGAGTAGCAACCTTGCTTTGTACGCCTTCCTCATGGCACATAGCACACAGTAGGTATGTTATAAATACCAAACAGTAAATAAGAAAGGCCCCCTGTGCTTAGCTTGGATTCCCCCTGAAGCAGGCCTTGAGATGAGAGGGTTCAAGTATAAGTAGTTTATTTGGGAGATGTCAGAACTATGCTTGGGACCCAATCATAAAGACTAAGTGAAGTCATTTAAGGATAAAATATGCTGATTATCATGTGAAACAGGACTATAAAATGTAAGTAACTGGCTTTTGGTCATTTACTGTGGCACAGGATATGACCTCACAGACATTTACAGATAACACACATGCACACACTTAACCAGCTGAAGCCTGGCTGTATTTTTTTTTTTTATTCTTTGCCAGTATTGTTGACGCTCTGTAACCCAGCCAGGCTGATGGAAAATGAGGGTGAAATAAAAGTCTTAAAAGTTCCAATCTCTGAAGATTCATTCATCCATTTACTCATTCAACAAATACTTATTGAGTATCTTCACTGTGCCAGGTGCTCAATAAATGTTAACCCTCAAAGCAAAAAATATATTTGAAAATAATGGCAGATTGAGTATAAATAATAGATAGTACTTTCTTGACCCTGCTCTCTTTTATTTACATCTCAACCATTCCATCATCTCCCTGACTCAGCTCCTTCCTGCTCATTCTCTTTTCTCTTGGCAGCACTCCTGTCTTACATCAATTAGGAGCTATGCTCCTTGAAGGCAGGAGTGGACCAAACTCATCCCGGCAAAGGACCCTGTGCGAGTCACATTCACCTCCTCCTGTGCTAATAGCTTTCAAATTCGACCAGGACCATTTCCAGCTGCCCTGCTTTTAATAATGACAAAGAAAAATGAACAGCTAGCATGAAAAGCAGCTTAAAGCTTTATAATATATTTGCCCATTTTATAAACTTTAAATGTGTCCATTTTCAGTTACCGAAAGCAATGAGGCACTTGGAGAACATGGGTCAGTGAAACCTAGAATAATCGCTGAATGTCATTTTAACATATACCAAAGCATCTAATAAACAACAGGTACAGATTTCTCCCCTTTCTCTCTCTTTTCCATACGTTGAAAATAAAGAGAAGCTGTGAAATGGCTGCCAGAAAGACCAAAAAATAAATGAAGCAAAGGCTTCGAATAAGGAATAACTAAATAAGGGGCTCAGATCAAGTTTCTACTCTAACAGAGGTATTATAAGAAGGTTTTCTGCAGGGAGGATACCTTGAGAGATGAACCTTTGGGAGTGAAACATTTGAATGGCTTCTTATCCTCTGATAGTCCATCTTCTGGCATCTTCTGACGTTTCTCAGCAGCTTCTGCCCTTCGCCTTTCAATCTCTTCCTTTAGCCTCCTCTTCTCTTCCTAAGAGAGAAAGAAGAGATGACAAGGACATGAACATCAGCTTCAAGCCAAAAGGAAAGATTGCTGTAGGGGAAAGAGTATAGTCCCCAAGGGAAAAGGCCCAGGTTCTAGACTGGCTGCTGCCCCTTCCTCAAGGGCGCTCCCTAGTGGTTAAGCCTGAGTTCTCGAGTCCAACTACCTGACTCGCACGCTGGCACTGCCACTTCCCAACTGTGCAACCCCGGCCACATTACTTATCTGCTCTGTGCCTCAGTTTCCTCATCTGTAAAGTGGGGATAATAATAGCACCCAATGGATAGGGTTTTATTGAGGACAAATGAGAAAGCCTACAGAAAATGCTTAGACTAGTCCTCAGGATGTTTATCATTATCATCAAGATCCTGCAAGTCATTTAACACTGACCTTCCATTTCCGTAAGTGGAAAATTAATGTAAATATCCCTTCTACTTCCTTCCTAGGAGAGTTGTGAAGACAAATGAGGTAACATGTAAAAAGTTATGTAAATATATGGTACTAAATTTTCCAAATTGTACAAGAGATGATTTTATGGTGGTCCACACCTCAAGTGAGTAGCTTATTTTAAATGGTTTGACAAATCTGAAATGGTGTAGCTATTGCACCACGGCAGTGAAATCACAGATGTTTACAATCCGTCTCATTAGCCTCTCTGTCCCTTCTTTGCTGGCCTGTCTTCTCTCCCCTGTCTTCTCTCTCAGGCAAAAACTCCAGAGCTCTAGTCAAGTTGCCCATCCTCTATGAACGATTTTCTGGGATTCATGCAATTTTTTGTAGTTTTCAAACTGTAAGATCTTTATCATTGGATGCTTTCAAGCAGAGACTGGATGGGTCTATCTGTCAGAGGATGTTGCAGAAGGATCCTGTGTGTTATGGACTGAATGTTTGTGTTTCCCCAAACTTCATATGTTGTAATATTTACCCTCAATGTGATGGTATTAAGAGGTGGGGCCTTTGCAAGGTGATTAGATCATGAGGATGGAGATCTCTTGAATGGGATTAGTGATTTATAAAAGAGGCCTCATGTGAGGACACAGAGAGAAGACAGCTATCTATGAACCATCAAGCAGGTCCTCATCAGACACAGAACCTGCTGCCCTTGATCTTGGACTTCCCAGCCTCCAGAACTGTGAGAAATCATTTCTGTTGCTTGTAAAGCACCCAGACTATGGTAATTTGTTATAGCAGCTTAAACTGATTAAGACACTGTGCTTGGTAGGAGGTTAGACCAAATAATCTCCTAGGTTCAATCCATTTTTAAGAGTTCAGTCTGTCTTCATTGATTCTCTCCTCCTCTAAACAATAACAACAATGATAACAATAATTATGTAACTACCACCTCCTGTGTGCCTATTATGTACCAGGCACTGTGAATACAATGATCTAGTTAATCATCGCGTTAATCCTGAAAGGAGACATTATTTCACAGACAAAGAAAAGAAGTCTTAGAGTGGTCCAGTAACTTTCCCAAGGTCCCAGCTTGCAAGTGGCAATTAGGATACAAGCCCGGTTGTGTTTGATTCTAAAGCTCTATCATCCCAATTACTTCTCAACCAGAGGTCATTGGCTCATTGAGAGCTGGACTTGGAAGAGATCTTAGAATAATTTATCTAAACTTTCCACATAGTTCTAGGAAATTCTATAGAAGATCCACATCAGAAAGTCATCGAAAGTCTTTTTGCATATTTTGAATGACGAGAGATCACTGTCTCCTAAGATTAGTGGGAAAAGCTCTAGGCTGAGTTGGAGGACCTGGCTCCCAATACTGATTCCATTGCTTTTTAGATGCGTGACTTCACAAAAGTCACTCAAACTATTCGATTCCTGGTTTCTTTGTCCATAAATTGGGAATAATAATGTACCCAGGGATGAAAGGAAAGGATGCACCTTGTAAACTGTAACAATATAAGTTGTGATTCGTTAAGCACTTTTTCTGTTTTCAAAATTTGCCTTCTTGTAACTTTATCTGTTGTTTCTAGCTCTGTCTTAAAAGGTTTGTTCATAATTATTGGGCTCCCACTATATGACTGACGCTGTGCTGGGTCCTGGGTATACAGTAATGAACAAAGCAGATACTGTCCCTGCCTGAGAAAATCTAGTCTACGTACTCTTCCACTAAAAAAACAAAACTGCCTTTCTTAAATCTTCTCTATAAAACTCTTCAAATAGCAAAACAACTATTATATGACTCTTAGGTCTTGTAACTAATCTGCAGACCTTTTCATCCTTCTCAGCTTTCTACTGTTCTTTATTGAGGGACAGTAAAGGGTAATTAATGAGTTAAGACAAGTGGGACCTTGGGAAAATTACGAAAAAAAACACCTCTCTGTGCCTCACTTTGCTCATCCGTAAAATGAAGACAATACATGTACCCATTATCAGAGAGTTCTTATGAGCATTGGATAAATTAATATGTATAAAGATTTTAGAACCATGCCTAGCACACAGTAAGTTTACTGTTCTAGAAATGTATTTGTAAGAGTCCATGCTCAACAGAGAAGCAGCATTTCACCTGGGAAAAAATCATCCTCTGGACTAGAAGGGTCACCTGAGATGTGTATTCAGGGGCTGGGGTAAGTTGCAGCGCCCCCTGGCTGGACGGGCTGTGCTCTCCTTACCTCCTCTCTGACTTTTCGCTCTGCTTCCTCCTGCTTCCTCCTCTGCTCTTCCTCCTCCAGAACCTTTCTTCGCTCCTCCCTCTTTTTCTTCAGCTCTTCCAGCTCCAAGGCGGCCTCCTGCTGCTTCTGTTTGAGCTTCTCGAACTCTTCGCTCTCGGTTTCCCCGCGGCGGCGGCGAAGCTCCTCCAGGCGCTTGCCGGCTTCCACTTGGGAAGCGCCTTCAGCCTCCTTGGCCTCACCCACCTTCGCTCCTGGGCGGCTGTGGAGAAATGCAAAGGAGTGTGACACAAGTCTGTCTTGCAGCCTCCCCTGGAGGGAGGATGTCAGTCTGCAGGCTTTGCATTCCGCACTGCAGAAATTTCCACTGCCCATCATTTGACAGTGGCTCTTCACACCAACCCAAGGTGTAGGTTGGGGTCAGCCCGGAATCTCAAGGTCTGAATCTGAGTCCCCGCTCTGCCACTTCCTCGGTTTCCTTAGTTGTACGATGGGGCAAACAGGCCCTGTCGGTGGATTGTAAAATACTGCAACCCCTATGGAAAACAGCATGGAGGTTCCTCAAAAATTTAAAAATAGAATTACCATGTCATCCAGCAACTCCACTTCTGGGTATTTATCCGAAAAAAATGAAACACTAACTTGAAAAGATATTTGTACCCTCATGGTCATTGCAGCATAATTTATAATAGCCAAGATATGGAAACAACCTCAGTGTCCATCCATGGATAAAGAAAATGTGATATATGTACATATACAACAATGGATTATTATTCAGCCATAAAAAAGAAGAAATCTTATTTAAACACTTATCAACAAGTAGTGAGGGCATCCTTAACCACATCTGAACATAAGTAGCCTATTTCTGACACTCTTGTCTAACGAACAGATGAATTACCACTGTCTAGTGTCAAGGAAGAATAAAACACAAAATGAGATCAACATTACCCAATTGCCAATACTGATCTTATGTGTACATCTCATGCTTTTTAAATATTGAGGTAGTGCTGAATATACTAAGCCCTTTAGGACAGTGCTTTTCAAGCTGCAGTTTGGAAAATCAGTTTAGTGAACTGTAATCAGCATTTTAAAAAATGAAATAGAAAACATCAGAGTGCATTGCATAGAACACGGGAATTCACCATTTCTTGACATGTTTGTTTCAGTTATAAATATATATGTAGAGATGTCCTGGGTTATGATGTAAAACTTATTTCTTACTAAGAGTTGAGGTCAAAAAGTTTAAAAACATTGTACTAGATTCTTGACGGTTAAAAATGAACTCTTATTTTGAACTCAGTCAAGGTTAAACTTGATGTTGCTCTTTCAGGGTCTTATAGGTTCATAGGCCTGTGACTCCAGAGAGAAAATTTCCACTCTCAGTTAATTTAAGGTTTTTCCATCTTCAGAGATGAGTTTGCCCTCTCTGTGTTCATCATGTCAGTGTTCAGTTGGACTGGCAAAACACATGCCTATAGAAACTTCTCTGGATTCCACTAGGTGTCACTCAGCCTTCATTTTGGACGTTCAAAACACCCATCATTAGGGACTGGTTAAATAAACCACAATAGTCCATCCGGTGGAACACTCTTTAATTGTAGGCTTATATTCATTGGTATAGAAAGCCAGCTAAGATTATGTGCAATGCAAGAATCAATTTAGATATAGATTTGTAATTCTATTCACACATATACATACTATAGGTATATATGTGTGTCTATTTTGAGTGTGTATACATAGAGAATATCTGGAAAAAAGTGTTACTGGTGATTATCTTTACATGATGGGTGCTTATTTTTATACTTCTATTTTCTGAATGTTTTATAATGAGTACAGTTTTCCTATAATTAGAAAAATTCTCATATTAAACAAACAGAAAGCAAAACAAATCCTTGTTTTGTACTTTCTATAAAACCCTTGGTATAATCTGCTATTTCTATAACTTGCTTATTAAACTGAGATTTTTTTTTGTCATGTTTTAGAGAAAACAACCTAGTTACAAGAAAACAGGAGTATCAAAGGGGGCAGTAATTAAATCAAACATAAGGAACGATGCTTCAATTTGTCCACATCGCCTCTGCTCAGATATGCTGGCACGCCCTTAGCATTAGGGTGCCACTAATATTTCTTCCAGAAGGTTTTCCTCCCTATGCTTGGCTTCTTTAGTTGTAAATCACAATGAACATCAGACATTTCACCATTAAGAACACAACTTGTTTTCAGTTAAGCTTATCTCAATAGAAGCTCTTCTCCCTTCCCAGCTCCCCACTTTATAACTACATGGAGCAAAACCAGGTGTCTCTACTTCTATCAGCATCAACTTCTAATTGAATCTAAAACTAACATACGTTGGCAGCTAGACAAAAACTAATAATATGGTGGCAGTTTGTTTCTTTTTATTTTTTTCTGTCTAAAGCTTGAAAAATTAAGGCAAGAGTCACATTTTAGAGCTGTCAAGGGACCGGCCCCGTGGCGGAGTGGTTAAGTTCACACGCTTCGCTTCGGCGGCCCGGGGTTTCACTGCTTCGGATCCTGGGCGCGGAAATGGCACCGCTCATCAGGCCATGCTGAGGCAGCGTCCCACATGCCACAACTAGAAGGACCCACAACGAAGAATACACAGCTATGTACCGGGGGGCTTTGGGGAGAAAAAGGAAAAAATAAAATCTTAAAAAAAAAAAAAAAAAGAGTTGTCAGCGCTTAACCTGTTGCCGTCCCCTGTGACTTTTCTCTTTGAATTACTCAGCTTTCTGGATTTCCACACAATGGGCATGTTAATTATTAATTTGAGCTTTGACTAAAGCTAGTTGGCAAGTTTGCTAATTGTTAACCAAACTCCTATGGACAGACTTTTTAACATTATTTCTTTTAACAAAAATGTACTCTTACCTACAAACATATTTTAAACCATCAAATAATAATATTACGAGGTAATATTCATTGAACACTTTTCATGAACCTGACCCTTCTCTAGGGCTTCAGAATACTAAAATTCTGGCACTTCAGCAAGCTTTGGACTCAGCTTACCAACCTGAATCAACTTGATTTCTAGATTTTCTATGAATTCCCAGTAAGCCTTTAATTTTCATATCTACTCTCTTGCCAATCCCAAATAATATCTATAAGTTCCACACTTTTAACTCCTTCACAGTTAATTCATGCCTTTGAGACATACCTTTTCTTCCATATTCTTTAGGCTTTCTTTGGATAAATGTGACTAGATTTCTGCTCAAATTTTGTATAGAAAAATTGTTTGGGGGAAACTATATTTACCTAACACCTTAGCATCTTAAGAGCAGCCAGAAACATCCATCCCTAGTAGCGCTGCCTACTTCTGAATGTCACAAAGTCTGGTGTGAGGAGCATGTCCAACTTCTACACGATACCTGCTAGGGGACTTTCTTATTTGAAAAGTTCAGATAAACGGGGTCTATAGGCAAAGTTGGTGCCAAAGAACATCCCCATGGGATCCACATTAGGGAGACCCAAGACTCTTTTCCAGAACACTGGGACAGCAGCCAGTGACATAACAGAGGCTGGAATTTGTCACCAGTGTTTGGAGGGTGTATGTGTGCGGGAATGGGGCACAGAGAATTGTGTAGCCAGGTGTCCATGGCAGGCTTCTGCAACTTGAGTCCTTCTACAAAACTGGTGGGGAACTCTCAGTATCCAATGTATCTAGAAGTGAGGATTTACCTGCACATATTTGTCTATCTGTCCTGAAATCAATTGCCTAGATGTTCAACACGATGGGTGGAGTAGGGTGAGATGGGAAGCTGAAGCTATGCAAGAGGGTTTTCTAAACTGTATTAGATGGAGCCATTAGTCCCATGCTTTCTTCCTCCCTCTTAGAGATTTCCATGCAAATTAACATCAGGGGCTTTCCTCAAAGTCCTGTGGTAAAGAGATCTGATAAACTTAATTTAACCCAATATTTCCCAAGTATCTGGCCACAGAACAATCTTAATTTTATGTAATTTTTGTTTACAACCTTTAGAAAATACATTCTTGAAAATGGTACTGAGGAGGGTCTCTTATGAATTTGGCCGGACCATATAGAGAATGAATGATATAGTTAATGACCATATAGTTAATGAATGATATTAACCCCAGTCATAATATTTTCTAATGAACTGATCTTACATGAGCAGATTAAGTCAGGGAACAAAAACATAGCTGCCAAGCATGATCTGCCTTGCTAAATAATGGGAAAAGCAGATTAAACCTTGTCTGAGCAATGACTACTGGTCTTCTGTTAGCGATTGACAGCCTGACTTGCTGACTGAGTATCTCTCAGACAATGGCCAATGAGCTCACAACAAAAGTATGTTGCCTGTTAGCACGCTTCTGTCTGGAGGCCCAGGATAGGGAGACCAATTTTTATTTTCACATATGAACACAGTCACTGTTTACTAGTCACTACTTCTTACCTGAAAACATTCTCGGTGTGTTTAAGTTTGTGGGTCATGAATTCCCCATTCTGTGACTTCACTTCTGTAAATCCCTTCTTTCCATCCAAGAAGCTCTTAACTTCTTCTTTGCGCTCTTTGTCCTTTTTAAACTTCTCATCTTTGATCTAATCAACAGTACACATCAGGAAGAAACATAATGATAAAAATTGTATTAGGTTTTGCTTGGTGTCACCAAATAAGACCCAAAATTGTTAGGAAGCCAGAAAACTGAGAAGTGAAACAAACCACTGGAGAACAATGTGGTAGAGTCAGGGTCAGAGGAAATCCTCAGAGCATGAGCTATGGTGAGCTGTGAGCAGAGACCTTGACCACAATTTTAGGAAGTCAAGATCATCCCCGATTTCACTGGAGTTTTATTTTCAAGAGCAGTGGAGGTGTTACCGTTTGGCAACTATTATGTTCTGGGAACTCCGTGTAAGAGAGGCTGTTTGCAGTTTCCACTGGGAAGAGCGATTATTAGCTTGGCTTTCGTGTGAGAATGGCCAGGCTGCTTGGACAGATTTCTTCTTGGATGGAGGGTACTTCTTTGAGAAGGACACAAATGTGTTGAGGAGCAAAGAAGAGGAAACCTACCAAATTCGCCAGGTCTGCCAAGCCTATTTTGACGGATGTCAGAGGAAGATTACCCCTGTATTCTAATCAAATGAGTAACTAGGACTCTGAGGCTAGAAGACATAATAACCCTACTTTTAGGGGGATGACACAGAGATCTGTGGACCATGGTTGTAGTCAATTAAAGCACTACAGTTAGAATGGAATAGGAAAACTCCAGGGTTTAGGTTGACTTCCATGGCAGGTAATAATTTAGTCTCTGGAAGTGGTTTTGTGATTATTGTGGGAGACAGAGGGAGGTGACACACGGAGAGCAGGTGTTAGCTTTAATATTCTGTGGTTTTCGTGTTACAAGTTCCTCATGGTAAATGAGACAGATTATTTCAAAGGAAACTGAATTTATATAGCTTTGGGGGAGGTAAAGAAGTCCAGATTACTTTGCCTATATCAACTCGCCCATTATTAAAAGATGAGTGTGAAAACAGGTGGGGTTCATTATTGCTCTTTTCAAGACAAACAGTGACAAAGTACTAACATGGTAAAGAAACCCACAGAAGAAGGGTGGAGCATGAGAACTTAGGGCTCAGGTGCTACCCACAATGGTCTCCCCTTACCAGCTCACTCACCTCTTTTCAGCTATTCTTCAGATTTACTCCTAAAGTTCATGTTTTACTAAGCAGAGTACAGTTTTTTGCTCTTTACTGACAATCCTTCAATTGTCCTTTACCTGATTGCCTTCTCTGGGTATTATTTGACTAAATTACTACAGAGGGACTATTCACTACCATGTTGCCCTAATTAGCTAAGATTTTAATCTTTCTCTCTCCAAGGTGTATATACCTAGTCTATCCCTCAGATATGCTGAAGAGGAGAGCTGGGTTTTTTGCCATTCTCTCTGAGAGCTTTTTGTGGAAGTCAGGAAACCTGAGTTTTAGTGCCAGTGCTGTCAACAAACTAGCTGTGTTACTTTGATTAAGTCACTTGAATTCTCTGGAATGCTGGCTTCTGTATATAGAAAGAGGGAATTGGACTAGATGATCCCCTCCTAATCCTTCATCCTGTCATTTCCCTCTTGGCTCCTGATTTATCATGAGGGGCTACAGAGAAGAGAAGGAAGCTCCTGGCCTGTCCTACAGCTTAATTTCGGCTCCTTGGTGGCTGTCCTTGCCCAATCATAAGTGGGTATTCATTGGGCAGGTGGGAGTCTGCAGGCCCTATTCTCATCTCAGCCTACTGTTGTTGGATATAACCCCAGAAACCATGGACTGGAGTTTAAATCCTGGTTAAGAAGTATCTGGGAATACAAAGTGGAGGGTAAGGCGGTCCCATTTAAGGGAACCCATGAGACAAACCTTGAGTCAAATCTCACAGTTTATGAAGCACTATGCAAAGAGAAATTCCCAACTCATTTCTCCTATTGTGGAGTCAAAGATATTTCCATTCTCCCAAAATGCATTATCTGATTTACTGGCCAAAAATGTATGTAAAATAGATTTGTAAAACAATACATGTCTAACAGAAGAAAAATCCTCCATTTTTTCAAGCTCTGCCTTTATTGGCAAAAGTTATGGTGGATGGTATGCTTATTATATTCTCTTTGGAAAACTTTCTTAGAAAAATTCCCAATGAAATAACGATAATTTGAGTTTGACTACCAATTATTTTCTTTTTGGGGGAAATCAATAAATAAATTAATTCCATAATGCCTTTAAATTTTATCTTAAGGAGCATCATGGTCTGTTTTCTACAGCAAATTCAACCCAAGCTTATGGGATTCTGAGCCTCTTGGGCAAAGCATTAGATCTTGAGGCCAAAATGTTACGATGAAGAAAATCTGTGCTGATGGATTAATAGGTAGCCAAGTATCCTGAAAGAGTTAACGTGCTGAAAATACAGGTAACGTTAGCATATGAAAGGCTCTGGCCAAATGTGACCATTGGGACAAAACTCTGCATATTTGAGATATCCAAAGGGATACCACGTGAGTGTGTGTGTAGGGAATGAGAATTCAAGTGACATGCCCTTGTGCTAGAGAGACACTCAAAAAGTTGATTGAGCAAGTCAAAAAGGACGGAGCTGTCAGTCTCTGTCGTGTATTGCTTTGCATTATTTGATTCCAGAATAGTGAGAAGAACTGGTGCAAGTTACAGTTTTTCAGATTAGGTTTAACATACTTTTGTTAGATCCAGAAGCCTCAGTTCTTTTTCTGGGTCCAATGTCTATCACATGGATGTCTGTGCCATTGAAAGTTTGGTCCATGGCCAACATGGACCTCACTGGGAAGCTCAGACTCCACCCCAGACGCACTGAGTCAGATTCTGCATTTCATAAGATTCCAGGTGATTTGCATGGACACCAATGTTTGGTAAGCTTTGGCCTACAGGATATGAATATCAGTTTCCATATTATAAGAACAATTCCACTGGAAACTGTTTTTCTGATATAGGCCAGAAAAAAAAAAAAGAGCTTCAGGGTGAATAACTAAAAAGAGACGTTTTATAGTTGGAGAGGAGAAAAAGAAAGCTAAATTAATTTTCAAGGTTGGTGATCATCTGTGATCTATTGCCACAAACAGAGTTAAACTCCAGTGGGAGAAAGAAGGTTTTTTGTCTGGTATTAGAGTAACTTCTGGAAATGTTTTTTTCAGGGAACGTTCACGTGATGTTTGTGTTTACCTAGCCTACTTAGCTCCTTGAAAGGAAACGCTTTTAATATTAACCAAAAAAAAAAAGGGGGGGGGGGGAAGAGAGTGTTAATGGCTAAATCGTGTAAAGTATGATTTAAAGTTGTCTACATAAAGCAACCACACAACCAGCTGGAGAGGGAGAAATCTAGTCATTCAACTAGCAATTTATGTACACAATATTAAAACAGGAATGATAGTTTTTTTGGTTTTTTTCAGCCTGAGTTGAATAGCTAATCTGGCCTTCTGCAAAACACAGGCCAGAAGTTTTGGGACACTGGAATGTGCTGTAGGGCGAACTGGGAAAGGGGCAGGTCTGAAATCATTATACTACAGACATTGTTGAACTGGGGCTTTATCTGAAAAGAGGCAATAGGATGATTTGGATGACCGCTGACGAGCCTTTTCTAGCTCACGGACACAATACACGGACATAGAATGCTTTGGTCATTAAAAATAAATCACATCTTAGACTCGGAACAGTGCCTTTTCAGCTTCCCCTCCCTCACATAAACTTTACCACTGAGTCATGATTTCACGCCCTCTTCCTTCTGTAGTTAAAGACACCCACCATGAAACACTAGCTTTATAGAAGAAGCCATGTGGGACATCTCTGCTTGAGTTTAGTTCCCAGTAAGCTTCATTGTTTATAGGTGAATTTGTAGGTGTTTTTCTGTTACAAAATGAGAACAGTGGTTCCCAATGTGTTCAACTATATCCTCAGCTACCTCATTGGAGCCAAATTCAGTTTTCCAGTCATTAGCATTTCCGCTTTCTCCTCCCTTTAAACGTACAGTGTTCGCATTCAGTTTTCGCTCCCAAACCACCACAAGTTCTCTTAGAAACAGGGAGGAACACATATCTTAAACGAAATAAATATAACATGAACTGTGGGTTCTTACTTTTTTACATGAATCTTATGAGAAAACGTTTAAGAAAATAGCCATCCCCCTATTTAACCTGGTCATTTATTTTCTAAATGTGGATTTTTCTGTTTCCTCACATATGCCATAATGGACAGAGAAATGTAGCAAGAGTCCATTTGAGTTGGCGCTCAAAGCTACGATTCAGTCCCCTGGGCAAAGTAATTCAAGTCTTCTTACCTTTGATAATTTAGTTTTACCACATTCGAGTATGTAGAACTTATTAGATACTGTCACAATTTTTAGGATTACTTGGGGCTAACATAAGCACAATGGTTAACACAAGGTCAGGCTTTCTGATGGGCATTTTGAATATGTTGGAACATAAAGCTATTCTCTCTGCCGCAGCCTCTGGTCCACTGACTCATTTACTTACCGACAGTCAAACACCCTGGCACCAGCTCCTGTGTGTGCCTCAGAAATGCAATGCAGAACGTTTGGCCAAATTTTTCTTTTGAAAACCAAATATCATCTTCAGTTCATCAAATTTTCTACTGAGATGGGGGGGGCATGTTTTTCCTTTGGAAAGTTAAATCATTAATCAAAGCCAATTGGAGATATTTATGATTGAAATGAAAGTAGGATGGTTCAAGGAAAAGAAAATAGCACTTAGAAGAGTAGAAAGCTGGAAAGATGAATCAGAAGAGTGTTTTTCAAGCTTTCTGACTGTGACCCATAGTAGGAAAGGCAATTTTATCACAAGGCAGTGCTTACTGCCTATGATGCCCTCTGACGTTTCCCATTCTATTTCATGTTTTTAAAATGCCGATTGACCTGTTTAACTAATTTTGAGATGCTGTAAGTTGATTTCACCAGTCAATGGATCATGAGTCATGGCTTGCAAAACACTGGATTAGAGGTTACAATTTTGAGATCATCAGACCTGAAATGTCATGGAACACTGCTCTCCGTTGCTCTGTGATTAGATTATTTCTCAATAATATTTACCTCTTCTTTTTTGAAGGCAGGCTTGTCTTCTTGGGCCTTTTCTCTTTTAGTTTGCACTTTAGCCCTCTTTTCTTCTTCCTTTTTATTTTCAAGAACGGTAAGGTCACTCATTTCAAAGAAGCCCTTTCTAGCTTCCAAGAGTGAGAGAGTGCTCAGGTCACTTTGCATGTGACGCTGGGTGACTTCTTTTGCTGTCTCAGTGCTCAAATCTCCCCCTGTGCCAGTGGTTCTAAACAGCCACGTGGGATCTTTTCTTCCCACCCCAATTTTTTCTCGTGTGCCTGCCATTGTGCTCACTGAAATCTAGCGTGACATGGTGTTTCTTGCGCAAGTTTACAAACCCCATATGTGGTTTGGTGCATTCTGTTCCTGATCATCTCAATGGTAGCCGTGTTCATGAGCCCCTTGTAAAAAGCAGGAGTGAAAGACAACTCCAGCGCAAGGCAGGCTTTGTGATAGAGAGATCTCTTTGGAAAGGTGAATAGGCAGGCATCTCTTTTTTCCTTTTGGGGGTGGGGGCAGTTAGGCATAGTGCTTTTAATGCAGACTTGCAGACAGAAAAAATCTTTTGTAGCTGATAAACATTCCCCCCGCCAATATTTCCACCCTTCCTCGTGCTACGTGGATTTATTTGCGTCATCCACATGGTAAAAGAAGCAAAATGTATGCTCTTAATTACCAATCAGTTATAAATGGATGCCACCCGAGTCACATGGCTTTCTGCAAGTCTACACTCAGCTCAGGCCTACATGAAGGCAAATCATGGTTTTGACATTTTTAATAAAAGGTCCAAATTGGCTTCTTACACTCCCTTATTACCAGTTGATTTCAAGGAGTCTCTTTTTGCCTTCTTAAGATGCTATTTCTGAGCATGATTCTTTATGTCAATTTCCCACCTCAACTTTTACAATTTTGTATTAAATGCCAAAACCATGGGTAAGGTGAGGAGTTATGGTCCTCATGCCTCATGTAGAGCTAGGGACAGAGGTAAGTTGTTAAACGGAATGAGTTTATATTCAAGTGCAGAATCATAAGTCAACGCAGCACCACCACATTGGGTTAATTCATTTTTTTGGTATTCATAACAACGAAGCACAGAGCAATGAATTTCTCTCTGGCTGTCCCAGCAAATTTGGTCGATTGAATATTTAGCCATCAATCGATTGCTTCATGCTTGCATATTGCTATGGCCTAAAAAAATGAACAACTTGCCAAATGATCAAGCACGTGGGGCTGTAGGAACGTGGCCTCAGACTCAAATTTGATGCGCATTACATTTCTCATAAGTCACAGGCATCACACATTTGGTGCAAAATGTTTACTGTACCTGTTTCTTTTGGACAGCTGTCTGAAGTTTATCTTCTTGTGCTTTCTTTTCATTTACCCATTTCCCTTCCATTTTCTCTTCTACCTTCCCCCCTTTTATCTTTTTCTCTTGCAAACCACTTCTTTTCTCTTCTAGCTGCTTCTTAACTTTCTGTTCTTCTATCTTAGCTTTCTCTTCTTCCTCTGCCTTTGCCCTCTGCCTCTCCTCTGCTGCTCTTCTCTCTTCCTCCTTAATTCTTTCCCTCTCCTCTGCCTCCCTTCTTTTTCTCTCCTCTGCCTCCTTTCTTTTTCTCTCCTCTGCCTCCTTTCTTTTTCTCTCCTCTGCCTCCTTTCTTTCCCTTTCCTCTGCCTCCCTTCTTTTTCTCTCCTCTGCCTCCTTTCTTTCCCTCTCCTCTGCCTCCCTTCTTTCCCTCTCCTCTGCCTCCCTTCTTTCCCTCTCCTCTGCCTCCCTTCTTTCTCTCTCTTGTGCAGCTGCTATTTCTTCTGCTTCAATCCTTGCTCTCTCCTCTGCTATCTTTTGGTCTTGCTCAGCTTTAATTCTTTCTCTTTCTTCAGCTTCCAATCTGGCCCTTTCTGCCTCAGCTCTTTCCCTTTCTGCCTCTTCCATCTTTTCATGATGGGTAATCTCATCTGAACCTTGTTCCTTCCCCTCCTCTATTTTAGGCTCTTCTGCACTGATTTGCCCATTTTTCAATGACATTACCACTGTTTCCTCTTGGGTTTCTGTTGTTTTCTCTTCTACCATCACCTCTACCTGATTTTCTTCAATGCTCCCTTGCTTTGGCTTCTCTTCTTCCTCTTCCTCCTTTTCTTTTTCTTCTTTCTTTTTTTCTTCAGCATCCCTCCAATCATTCCTCTGGTAGGACTTTGTGACTGTTTCAGTTTCCTCTATCTCATATCTTTCTCGGCGACTTTCACTTTTCTCTTCCTTTTCTGCAGTTTCATTTTCCCCGGTGTTGTTTTGCATTCTTCTGCTTGGTGGCGACAAACTTGCATCTGTTATTGTTGGGTCGAACTCCTTCTGCCTCTCCAGCGCTTCCTGAAGGCGTTTTTGGCGTCTCTCCTCCCGCCGAGCCAGGCGCTCCAGGAATGCAGCCTCATCATCGCCTTCCACCTGAGTGTTCGTGGTGGTTGTCTTGACCTCCTCGTCAGGCACACTGTACAACAGAGACAACAACACCAAGGCAGCTTGCTGATTAATCAGTCAGCTGGAGTCACGTAGCCTGATCCACACTGGAACTATAGCAGATACTGGTAGCACCATGCCCATAAATATCCCCTCAGATGTTACATATTAGTACATGCCTGGCTAGATTTCAACTGATAGTAATATGCAAGTCCTTGCCCTTGGTCTTTCTCTGGCCAATGGAGTCTACTCTACATGCCAGAAGTGCTTTGAGTTTAATGTCCCCTGGGAGCAGCCCCCAAACAAAAATTGATGAGCATCAGTGCATAAATACCTCAGCTCCCCTCCCCTTTTGAGTTGGATAACTGAGGTGCCTGTGCCACACTGGATCTTAGAGTTCTCCAGTGGAGTTAAGCTCCAGATCCCCACAGTGGTAACTTGCTTGGTAACGAAATCTTATTTGATTGCCTTCTCTCCCCTGTCTCACTTCCCCACACCGCTACTAGTGTTTCCTGGGATCACTTTACAAATAAACTACTTGTGCTCAAATCTTTGTTTCAGGATCTGCTTCTTGAGGGACTTGAACTAAGACAAGAACCAAATTGAAATAATGAGTGAATTCCTCTATTATCATATAGTATTTTCACATGTCACCAAGTCATCTAGAATTCCTGAGCTGGGTGTGTGGAGCACAAAGTACTTAGAGAGGAAGGGAGTGTACATTATAATGTGGAGATGCTATATGCACACTGATGACCCCCATCGTAGAGACATCTAACTGTCCACCACAATTCATGCTCTTCCTTCCACAATCACAGGGAATTGATTGCCAGTCAAGGATTATATTTCCTCCCCTCCCCTCTTCCTTGCACCTAGGTGGAACCACGTGACCAATAATTTCCAATTAAATGTGAGCAGACAGGGCTGGCCCCATGGCTGAGTAGTTAAGTTCATGTGCTCTGCTTCAGTGGCTCAGGGTTCACAAGTTCATAGCCTAGGCACGGACCTACGCAGCACTCATCAAACCATGCTATGGCGGCGTCCCACATAGAAGAACTAGAATGACCTACAACTAGGATATACAACTATGTACTGGAGCTTTGGGGAGAAAAAAAAGAGGAAGATTGGCAACAGATGTTAGCTCAGGGCCAAGCTTCCTCACCAAAAAAAAAAAAAAAAAAAGGCATATCTTTAAAAAAACATGTGAGCAGAATTGATGTGCCCAGACCAAGACAATTAAGAAGCAGAGGTGCATGCTCTACCCCCTCTATCTCTACCTGCTGGCTAGATCAGAGGACTCTAATGCCCCAGGAGTTGACAGAAGTCACAAGAGGAAAGAAAGCAGGGGACCAATTCTACCCACTAGTCAGAAATGCCCACACTGGACGGATAAGGGTTACTGAATTAAACTACTAAAATTTAGGGACTCATTGTAATAGCAGCCAACATTACGTTAACTAATATATATGTACTCCGTCTATGTTCTTTGTCAAGATTTCCATGAATAAAGGATCTCTAGCCTTTCTTTTCTACAGTAGATAAGGAAAAGTTAAACGTGAAGTTTATTAAAAAAGAAAAGAAAATCTCCAAAAACCAAACTGTACTGTGCCCATCACCTCACTGACTATTGCAGGATGCTGGACACTGCCCAAACCAGGGGTGTTGGTCTCCACTGGCAGGAAACAACCAGTCATGTGATACCAGGAACTGTGACCAGAGTTGGAAGAATATGTCTTGCAATGTTTAGAAACGCCATCAAATTTCATGGTTCATACTGAACTTGGCCCTTTTGAAGTTCAAGTTCACTTAATTTTGGAAAAACACATTTCACATTTAACAAAAAGAAATGGCAGAGTAAAGCCTAGATTTTAAACTTTCTTGGCCTTAGCTGTTGCTCCAGGAGACTGTCTCCATGAATTAGACATATAAGGATTCAATTTCCCTGAAAATACAAATAGTTTAGAATTTAAGAGGAACAGTCTATACATAAGACATTTAGATCAACTGAATTCAAATAATTTTTAAAAGGCACCCAAAATTCCAAAATATTAGCTGGACAAAAGTCTCTTGAGTTAAGAAACCAACAGACTCTACTAAACCTTTCTTTGCACATTTATAAACCACAGCAGCAATCGGCAGTAGAGGTTAAGTACACGGTAGGGCTGTTTACCCCCAAGAAGAACACTTATTCTTCTTGTGGCTAACTAATGTGTCAGCAGTAACTCACATATTCTCAGATCTGAATAAGCTTTACTGAAAAAATAAAAAGAATTTTGTCTTCAATCAACAGCATAAAATTAATAATAATAAAATGTGAAGAAAGAAGAGAAACGCAAGTAGAAGCAAAACTTTAAAAGCAAGAAAACTACAGGCCACTAATAACTTTTTAAGCCATTGTTGATCACTCACTAATAACCAGATTCAGGAAAGTCCTCAAAATGCCGTTTTAAACTCTTTCTTTGTCTTCCTCCTCAGCTCAGAAATAAAAAAGGCAGTGAGTGACTGCAGCCTTCCTCTGTAAGGCTCGGATACCATCTCCCTAATAATAGTTAATAGGTGCTTACTATGTGCAGGGCACTGTGCATTTTACGTGTATTATTATCTCATTTAAATTTAACAACATTCCTAAGAGAAAGATATAATTTTTATTACAGTTAGCGCCAGGCCAAGTTGGGATTCAAAGCCAGGTAGTGAACCCCAGAGAACACACCTACAACCCATTTGCTGTTCTTCCTCTGATATTAGGAGCTGCTTACCAAGGGCCAAGGTCTCTATTTCTCCACCTAACCAATGAGCTTCCTTATTAAATTCATCCTGCCCGCCACCGTTTTCAAGACTGCTTTCAGAAACCTTTTGCGTACCCACTCAAATTTGGGTTAAAGAGGCCAGAACTCTTTCCTTTCAGAATTTTCTAGACAGATTGAGTTAAAGCCCTGCTAACATACAAAATAAAACAGACTAATATCAAAACCACGAACAAGATCTTATATATATGGTAGTTTCATTATATTTAATCAGTCCATAGTTGTAAATTAAAATTATATTTTCATTTTTCCTCCTAAAATATCCTCATCTGCATTTAAATGACATAACCATTAGCATAATGAACGGTGTGACCTTCTATGGGTGAACTTGTAAAAGCCCTTTTGAAGAAGTTGAACCTATTAAGTGTTCTGGACTTTCCTGATTTCTATCAGGGCCTGTATAGGAAATAATATAGTGGTAAACTTATAAGCTTGTTTGAATAATTACGTTAAATTAAACAGGATTCTGCAACTTGCTGAATAGTGTAGTGATCATATTGATTCAGGATGAATATCAAGAGAAATAAGACATTTGCAATCCATGCCTACTTTTGAAATTCAAGTATTATCTGTTGCTAGTAGGCACAGAGAACTATTAAACTAATAAATCTTCAGTTCAAAACAGATAGCAATACCCTAAAGAATGAAGGTAAATAATTTTCCTTATTTAAAGATATAACCCGCCATTTTTAGTATTAAAAAAATGACTAGATTATAAAATAAAATAAAACCATTCAATTAGGGTGTGTTTAGGAGAGGGGATGGAGGAGAGAAAGGAGCAGTGGTATACTAAGGTCTAAATCACTTTGACTGTCCAATCTGATTAGTTGCCTAAAGTGGCCAAAAAATAATTAAACAAAAATAATTAAAATTAAAATAATAATTTTAATTTTTAAAATTTTTAAAATTTTTAAATTTATAAATTTTAAAAATTTTTTAATTTTTAATTAGTTGCCTAAAATGGCCAAAAAATAATTAAACAAAAATAATTTTAAAAAGTAAGATAGATCGAAAAAGAGTCGAATTGGGCTAAGAGAATGCTCTGCACAACACATTCCATTCGTCAGATGTGCTAAGAAGCAACTTAGAAGTTCTCTCCATTCTAATGAGGACAGTACCTGTTCTGGGCATTAACCTCCACCTGGTCGGTCACCTGCCCCAAGGATTCTTCCTCCTGCTTCTGCCGCAGCCTTTCCTGCCGGGCGCGGCGGCGCCGTTCCCGGGCGGCCTCTTCCTCATCATCGTCGTTCCTCTGGTAGGCGATTCTGCAACACCACAAAGACAGCCCCTTGAGCATGCTAACTGCCGAACATCTTCACCAGCTTCTTGGCAGGATCAGCCCTGAGTCCTTTTCTGAACTTGACTACTTACTGAACCACAGAGTTCGAAAGGATGTTCCGTTCCTTAAGTTTGGAGACCTGATCTGAGTAGTTTTCAAACTTTTAAGTATCTGAAAAGCATTAGTCCCATAGCTACAGAGGATAATTTACAATGGTCAAATAACAGCTTAAACAAAAAAATCTACACAAAAATAAGCCGCCTTCGGAGACTGTGGGTTTGCATGCTTAGATTTCTTTACCAAGCTGATTACTAGCGTGTAAGATTTAGAAGCAGAAATCCAAAGCATTCAACTAAAAATAATCAAAACACTTATTAAAAAGATTCAGCATGTTGTATGAATTATTTGTGTAGACACTGTCACAAAGGTCAGAAAAGAATCCAATTACCAAACGAAGACTTTGGCATTAGTAAGCCAAATCACTAACTAAAACTGAGCGCAGGATATCTTCTTTGCTTGGATTTTATTTTTTTTCTTTTAGGTCCTTTTCACTGGAGAGACAAAGTGTTATGGACAACTGACAGGAGTCTTCGGTCAGTGCAGCTTCCTGTAAGGCCCCCTCTTTCATTCTAAAACATGCTTTAGTATCCCACCACCTGCAGGCTGGGCACATCATGGTAGCCCACAGATGTAGTTTAGGTAGAAACCTCAGGGCTGAGGCAGGTACAAGAGGCATAGAGGGCTTCACACACATATATGTTATTTAGCTTTTGTAGTTTCATCTGAAGCAAGTGACTATTTAGGGAAATGACACAATCAATATGTTTCCCTTAACGCTTATTCCCAGGTAAAGAATTGGAGCTGGGAACTACAGATGTCTGAACTCAAGAGGAAATGGCCTGCATGGGTTACTTGGCTACACTGAAGGAGGAATATGTATGGAGACACAGTGTGCCAAGAAGGCATGGGTCGAGCTGGCTGCCCAGGGACAAGCTGGCCTGATGTCGGGTCCCCGGCTGGGGCTGGAGCTGCGTTGTGCAGCAGGCTGCTTTTCACATCAGAGAGTTAAAGTACTTCTCTTACAATGTTACTTACATATCCACAAATAGAAATCCAGATATGTAAACGTTTCATGTTTATAATGTTTATGTAATTACAAAGCTAAAATAATTTACAAATAAAGAAAACAAAACAGCAGAACCACACAATTTATAGCAACAATACGAACCTAATAGGATTGAAGGCGGTTTGCTCTTGTTAGAGTTACAAACTAAACATTTTTAGGCTTAGATCCAGTACTTTACTTCATCTGTGTCTATCTTTTGATTTCGATAATACTAATGTTTTGAAAGTGTTTTCACCCAGGTATCTTATAAAAACCAAGATGTTATAAAAAGATCTTATAAAAAACAATTCTGAAGGTTGGTTGGTTTGTTCTTTGCTACTTCAGAAACTCTGACTTCATACTTACTAAAATCTGCTAGTGTGCAATACTCAAATGCCAATATAAATAAGATGTCACTCAGTAATTCTATAAAACTGACTGGTTTATTTCTACAAATATGGAGAGAAGGGCAGTGTGACATAGTTGAAGCATGACTAGGTTAGTACTCAGAAAATGTGGTTTGTAGAACTGGTCTCTTACTAGCTTGCAGCCCTTTGATTAACCTGAGCTACATTTCCTTGCCTGTTAAGTGTGTGACAATCAAATGAAATCACGGACATGTTTTGGTAAGGCATTCTACAGTGTAATATTTTGTTGTTATTAGGAAAGTTCAGCTGAGGAGTTGTTTTGTGAGGAAAGTGAGTTCAATTTTAGACTTGCTGAATTTGAGGTGACAGCATGACATGATTTGAATGTTCCTTTCTAATTCATTCGCATTGTAGTTTGCAGTCAAAAGCCCTTCCCAATGGTTTGGCTTCAGTCTTCAGATTCTTGGCCTAATATTCCTTTGGCTTATTTCTCAGTAGACAGCTTTAACCACAGAGGGAGAATGAATCCTCAATGACTGCTTCCAAAGCTAATCAAACAAAGTCTTAATTTGCTCTTCTATATCTCTGGATCAACCATGAGGTCTTGGCTGTTACTTGGGGCCTTCCTTTTCCAAGACAAGCAAGAGACAAAGGCTCCATAAGGGACGTCCTATTGTAAAAATAAAAGTCCTCTCTCTCCTAAATGGAATCTCCTTTGAAGCCCTTAATTTCCCACTATACTTGAAGAATCTGAGATGTTACTGTCTACCTCCTCCCACCTACTCAATGTGATTCATGGCAGGATGTTGCTGGCTGTTAGCTCCCACGTGAACTAGACTTGCCATTTGGTCAGGTCACACTCTGTCTTTCTACATCTTAGATTTCTCATTGGCAGGGGGGGCCTGAACAACCTGATTACCTCCACAGTCTCTTCTAACTCTTCTCACTGGGTGTAGCTTAAACTTTACAGACAGTCGCTCTCCATCGGTAGCCTATGGCCTAGGATACAGAATTACCAGAACTAGATTTTTAAGGATCTTTTATTATTACTAATAAAGAAAGATATTAAAATTATTTTCAAAGTTAAGAACAAAAGAAGAGCCAAAAAGTCTTCATGCTATTTTGAATCATAACACACCCAGTTCCTGGCTCAATAACATATCAGTTGACTTTATAAGTGAAATTGCGCCCATGCCAAATGCCTTGATATATGTGGAAATTCTTCAAATGTGAGACTCCCTACATTAGCTCTCGGCGTACAAGCAAACAGTAGTTTCTCAGCTTTTAGGTCTCTCCCACAGTGCCCTACCCTTCACACTCCTACCACAGGTTTATTTTTTTCTTTCAAAATTGAAGAAACTTAACCATTTATTTTTTTTCTGATTCTAAAAGTAACATACACTTACGATTTTCTTAAATGAGATAATACCAAATGTATACAAGAGGAAATAAAAATCAGCTGCCTAATCACATCACTCAGATATAAACATGACTAATATTTGATGTATTCAGCCAGACATTTTCCTAAGCCTGCAAGGTATTCTTATTTTTAACAAAGTGGGATCATATTATATATAATTTTATAAAAGTTTCTTTAATGTGCTTTATTTATGACTATTTTTAACACACTGGCACCATACAATTTTCAACAGCAACATGGTAGTCTATCTACAGATGTACATAGTAATTATATGGATGTACTATAATCTATTTAACCAGTTTTCTACTGATGGACAGTTAAGACTTTTCCAACTTTATGTTCTTATAAATAATGGCGCAAAGGACATCTTTATAGACACACTTCTACTAATTATTCGATTACTTACCTGGGAACAATTCTCAGCTGTTAGAATTTCCGAGTTTAAGAGTGTGCTCATTTTAAAGGCTTTTGATACACTTTGACAACTTGCCCTTCAGAAAGCTATATAAGACCAGCAATACATGTGAGTGCTAATTTCACCATAAGCAGAATTTATCCAAAACGACAGACGAGTACACAGCATCCTTAATACATCCAAATGATAGCACAGTGACTCTGCGTTATGCTTCAAAGACAAAATGTTAACATTTCTAATTTTCCACACACCAGATTTAAACGTATGAGAAATGCTGCTGACTAGTAAATGTCATACCTAAACACCCACTGGATTGCAATAAAAGCATAACAGTCCATTTGTTCCTTCTGTGAAACTGTAGCAGATGCCAGCATTAACCAGTTCACTGGTATTCTATACCACAAAGACGACTGATGTTCCCAGATGATTCAGAGGCAGTGTGGGACTTGAAGTTCCTCTGAATCACCTGAGAAAGACTAAACCATGTTTATTAGAGTTTTAATCAAATGCACTTATTTTTAAAAAAAAAAAAAACTGGTATCCCAAATGATACGTAAAGCACCTCTCTATTAAATAAAACATTTGATTGACCAGAATCCATGACTTTCCTACCCATGCTGGGTATAAGCAGATTTCCTATGGAGTATTATGCTTTGCTTCTTGGTAACCGCCTTTGTTATCTCTTGGAGAACACTTAAGAGAAAGGTAGGGTCCACCTTACTGTAGGAGGCCAGTGCCACTGGCAACAAAGCAGCTCATCAAATACTCGGGAGAAAGAGAGATGGGCTATTGTTTATGTGTGTGTCTATGAATAAGTGTTAAACAACCTCAAAAGTCCATAATAATTACATGATGTTATTTGATTGGGACAGTGGTGTGAAAAAAGTAGAGAGAACTGCCTTTTCTCCCACTCCCAGAACCACTGCTTAAAGGTTCTGGTGTTACATTATAAGAAAAAACAAATCGACGCAATGGGAAAACTCTCTTGGAATGCTGTGGCTTTCACACCAAAGACATCTTAAGTCCTTACCATCAGAGCGCTACAGCTTTGGTATATTCAAGTAACAAGATAATCATGTTACATGCTGTGCCTTTGGCACAGAAAGTTCAAATACATAAAAGTATTGCGGATAGGACAAATGAGGAATGAGTGTCTGTACATTTGGACGGGCCTGGGTCTAAACGTAGACTAGGAGAGAGAAGGAGGAAGTGGCAGAAGCTTCCACAGTAAGACACCGGAGCCAGGCATGAGGTGTCATCTTGCCTCAGTGTCCTCCTCACCTCATCTGCCCCATCAAATATTTCTCAAGACTTGCGCAACATTGGCAAAATTCTTATTATCATTTCGTCGACAATACAGGTGGTTTCGTTTTCACGCCGTGTTGCCCATGGTTTGAAGAATGTTGCTCTTATTTCCCTTCATTCTGTCTTTTTTCCATTTTGCTATTTTCTGATTTGAGAATTTAGTACATGATCCTTGAAGCTCTCAAGTAAAAATGCTGGCAAGAGTATTTTATTAACAAAACAAGATCTCTTATCAGGAAACCGTGTCTGAAAATAGAATAAGAAAAAGCAAAAACCATTTTTATGAGGGGGGCTGATTTTATTACTTGTTTAGGAGCGTTAAAGACCCAGAGAGAATGGAAAAGAAGTACTGTTAAGTCTATACTGAGTACAG